CCAATCCAGGACAAATTGCCTAAAATCTGCACTGGAAAATGGCAGCCCATTATCGCTGAAGACTTCATCTGGAATTCTGTGTCTGGAGAAGATTCCCTTCATGCCGGCTACCACTGACTACTGTTAGTACTATGCAGCATGCAGATTTCTAGATATAGAGAATAATCATAGACTCCTAGAATATCAGGGTTGGGAGGGACCTCGGGAGGTATCTAGTCCAACCCCCTGCTCAAAGCAGGGCCAACCCCAACTATATCATCCCAGCCAGGGCTTTGTCAAGCCAGGACCTTAAAAACCTCTAAGGAAGGAGATTCCACCACCTCCCTAGGTAACCCATTCCAGTGCTTCACCATCCTCCTAGTGAAATAGTGTTTCCTAATATCCAACTGGACTAATAATAATAATCTGTGACTATTGAATAATCCTTTGATTGCCAGGTAACGCAGTCAATGCCGACCTTCTCATAAGGCCTTTGTGGACCTGGATGAGGTCTCAGCAGCTCTGCTTGTTGGCTTGGCTTGTATTTCAGGCATGAAAAGCCGTTTCTTACCATGTTAGTAATGTCGTGAGTGATCTTCAGCCTACACCACACCTCTCATGCTCGTTGTTTGCACTTTTCAATTCCTAATTGTCCCTCCGGGATCTTCCGTGGCTTTACTTTTCGGAGTCTCATTGGAATTACAACCTTACTGCCCTGGAAAATCACCCCCTCTATCACAGTAAGTTCATGTTTCTGTTCCAATAGTCTCTTATACTGGAACACCAGCTGCTTATTTCTTCTGGCCACCCTTTCATGATCACTTCTTTAAGGGTCCCATTTCCTCTCTCATTTGTTGCAGTTTCCTGTTAGCTACTGGAATTGCCTTTACAATCAGATCTACATAGGCTTATGTCCCTGTCTCTAAAGTCTTCTCTGGTTTTGTGGGAGCCACTGCTCTGGAAAGCGCATCTGCCATGAACAGGAATTTCCCGGCTGTGTAGGGCATAACCAAATCATATGTTTGCAGCTTTATCCTCATTCTTTGAATCCTTAAGGTTCAGTCGTTTAGCAGTTTGCTAAATAACGCTACCAGGGGCTTGTGATCTGTTTCAACTTCCACTGTCCAACCATAAATATACTGACTGAATCTCTCACAGGCAAACAATATTCCTAAAAGCTCCTCTCAATCTCTGTGTATCTGGTTTCTGCCTCAGTCAGGGATTTGGATGCATATGCCACTGGCTGCCAACAATCCTCATTCTGCTGTAAAATCACTGCTCCTAACCCAGACTGTGAAGCATCTGCGGAGATTTCCGTCGGCCTTCCTGGTGCATAGAACTTCAACACTGGCTCTTGGATCCGTTGTTGTTGTTTTAAACTTTCCCATGATTCCTTTTGTTCTGCACCCCAGGACCATTCATTTGTATTCTCTGGGAGTTTTCGCAGAGCTAATGAACCAGTCCCAGGAACTGTTGGAAATCTTCCTTTGACTGCAGCTGGGGCATCATTTCTTCCTCTTAGCTGGTTTTACACCTTTGTTGGAAATAATGTCTCCAACAAAAGTCTGTTCTGTAACCCCGAAAACACCTTTCTCCCTATCGAGTTTGAAGTTTGCAGTTCTAGTTGCATCCAGGACTTCCCGAAGTCTACAGTCATGCTCCTTTTCCTTTGGGCCCCAGATGATTATGTCCTCCACTGAGGTGTCGTCACCGTTAGTATGTTCGTGGACCATATGCATGGTTTTGCAGCACACGTCTCGTGGTGAAGCTCTGCTGAAGGGTAAAGTGCAAGAATCTGTACCTTCCCAACAAGCAGGGAATTACATGGGCATAGTTTTGAGCTTTCTTCAGTTAATTTTAGCTGCCAAAAACCTGAGGATGCATCCAATTACTGAAATATTAAGCATTTGCAAATTGAGCCATAATCTCTTCTCTGGCTGGTAGTTTGAAATGGTCTCTCCCTAGAGCCTTAGTGAGGTCTCTGGGATCTAAGCACATGCGTAGCTGGATGTTATTTTTCTCCACAATGACTAGGGAGCTGACACATTTTGTTGGCTCCCCAATTTTTTGTGTTACTTGCATTGCTTCCATCCTTGTGAGTTCAGCCTTGAGTTGATCACAGAGTGCAAATGGCACCTTTCTACATGACTGGGTAACTGGAAGGACCTGCTTGTTTATCTGGATTGTCTGTTCACCCTGCGAGCAACCCAACCCTGGAAACAGGTCATGATATTCCCGAAAGAGTCTCCTAGCCAGGTTCAGTGTGATCTTGCAGTGAGAGCACCCGTTTTACCAGCCTGAGTTTCTCACATGCAGCCAGGCCTAAAATTGGTGTCACCTCCTTTGGCACTGCAATGAATGGGAGCCTGTACATGGTGTTTTTAGGTTGATGCTAGCAAGACACACACCCCCTCCCCGCCCTTCACTGGTATATTTGTTCCAGAATAACCAGGTACTTTGATTTTGGTTGGTCCCAGTTTGGGTCTTATTTTCAGTTTCTCATAATCTTGTTCAGACAGCGTATTAACCTGAGTCCCTGTGCCCACTTTCCGTGGGATAATTGCTCCATTCACTGTCACAGGCTGTCGTATCCAGTCCCTCTCATTGGGCTTGCTAGAGCCCAGAACGTCTGTGAAAAACTCCTCAACCCAGACTGTCTTGAACTGAGTGCACTTGACTGTTCTGCATTTGGGATCTGAGGCATTTTGCAAAAGGATTATTTTCCCCACGTTTACGACGGAGTTTCCGAAAGGCAACGCACTGTTTGGGGCCACGCTATGATCCACGCCTTCCACGTCACCGCCTGTACCCAGTCTTCCTCCTAGCAGTGGTCTTCATAGCGAGTGGTTCCACAATTTGATTTGACCTAGTCTGTCTATATTCTTTCACAGTACTTGGGTAACCCCTTCTTGTGGATTCCGCTCTTTGGCTTGTGCTTTCACAGTTTCTGTTGTCCTGAATATCTGGGGAGCTTTTTCTAAAGTTAGTCTCCTTTGTGGAGCAGTCCCTCTCTTAACACGTTGTCTTTAATGCCCCAAATGATTCTATCTCTGACCAGAGAATCTGCCAGCTCACCAAAGTCACAGGTGTTACTGAGTTTCCTTAATTTTTTGACATATTCCTCTGTGGCGTCACTAGTTTTCTGTGCACGTGTAAAAAAAATTCTCTCTCTCAAAGGTCTCATTACTTTTGGCATGCAATGTTCCTCAAATGTGGTCAGTGTTGGACTTAATTTCTTGCTTTCACCTTCTTCAAAGTTAAAGTCGTTATAACTATCCAATGCTTTCTCCCCAACAACATGCAAAAAGATAGATGATTTCACAGGATCACGTTTCTCCTCCACCCCTCTGGTTGCTGAATACAATTCAGATCTCTGCTTGATTTTTTCCACCCGGTTCTCTGCAACATTCCCCGATAATGGCAGACTGGATGGATGTTGCAACACATCCATTTTTAGCTTTTTTCCCCCTTCATAAAGTAGTCAAGCTACTACTAGCTTCATAAAATACAAACACAAGCCTTTGTTCTTCTCTGTTTGCTGCTTCACATGTACTGATCTGGGGGGTCATTAAACCAGTGGTTCTCAACCAGGGCTACACATACTCCTGGGGATACACAGAGGTCTCCCGGGGGTACCTCAATTCATCTAGATATTTGCCTAGTTTTACAACAGGCTACATAAAATGCACTAGCAAAGTCAGTCCAAACTAAAATTTCCTACAGACAATGACTTGTTTATACTGCTCTATAAACCATACACTGAAACATCAGGACAATATTTATATTCCAATTGATTTAGTTTAAAATTCTGTGGTAAAAATGAGAAATTAGTCAGCGATTTGTCAGTAACAGTGTGTCTGTGACACTTTTGTATTTTTGTGTCTGATTTTGTAAGTCGTTTTTCAGAGAGGTGAAACTTGGGGGTAGGCAAGACAACTCTGCCGCCGAGGGGTACAGCAGTGTGGAAAGGCTGAGAGCCAGTGCATGAAACAACCATCCAGTGAATGAGAAAGGAATAAAACTTTTAATAAAACCAACTGGAGACCAGGTGTGGTGAACTGCTGTACGCGGCTAACCTGTGTTCTCCGCCCCAACTTCCAGGGCACATCTCTAAATTCCTAGACTCTTAATACACCAGACGCTTGTTTGCTCTACCAGGCAGGACAGGTTATAGCTTAGCACGTGTTTGCAAGTTGTATTGTAGCCTAGGGCCCGGCCTAGGGTGAATCATGACCAGGGACCAGCATCTGTGGAGTGTCTACACTAGGGTTTACACTCATTGGCTGTGCAAATGCCACATCCGATCTGTGCCGAACTTTCAGGGAAATTTCTAGCCATCGACAAATGGAATCGTATGGATTTTGGTGATAAGGGGGGAAATGGGGGGCACACAGAGCCCCCCCTCTTCCCCCAGCATTTTTTAGCAGGGCCAGCAGCTTCAACCACATCTGTAACTGGTAGATCTGAGACCCCGCCCAATCCTATGTGTCTATATGCATCACTGGATCTTCTCTTTTCTCCCCATCTCATAGAGAGAATCACACTGCAGCCTTGGGACCCCAAATGCCCAGCTGTGCAGCTGATTTTCTGGCTGGGCGAGGAGGAGCTAGTCTCTGTGGATCTGGTCCCTGCTGTCCAGGATAAGATGGTGTTGTCTGAAGACTGGCAGACAAACGACCTGGCCAGACTGTCCGACTGGTGGGACAAGGAGCTGGGCAACAGCCAGGAAAGATTCCACCAGAAGGGAGAGGAAGTTGGGAGAGTCGGTGCTGACATAGTGGCCAGAGATGGTTTCTGGAGGTAAAAAAGATCCACCGCTGAAAGGAACTGAAATGTTCCCTTGGTCCTGAATCAACATTTTTATTTCCCAGAGAGAGATTTTCATTTTGACTCGAACTGAAATGTTCAGCTTTTGAAAACTTAAAAAAAATTTGAATTTCTGAAATGTTGAATTTGTTTGGTTTTTTTCATCCTCTGTCCCCTTTTTTGGCCAGTGAATCCAATAGAAGGATGGGTTCCAGGCTGGTTTCCTCCCCATCTATTCCTTTTCCTTCTTTTTCCACTCTTGAACTCTGGAAAAGTTAGTGGCAAAGGGAAAAAATGAAACTTGGGCCTTGTCTACATGGGAAACCTTCTTTGGTTTAAGCCACGGCTTGAATTTAAGCCAGTCTAGTTATACTGGGATAGCCCTGGTGTGGACACTCATTCCCGTTCAGGAGTGCCTTGGTTTGGTTTTGGTGAGTGGGAACCGGCAGTCTGCACCTGGCACTGAAATGCATCTGCCTCTGGACTAGGGTTAGGGGTGTAGGGGCTGTTTATACCGAGATCCCTCACTCACTGAAATTCAATGAGGTTTCTCTTTCCCTCGGTTCCAGGTTCTCTTTTGCCAATGCCGAGACAGCTTTTCTCCGGGACATCGACAGTGATGGGGGGTAGTGATGGAAAGCTCTGAGACTCCTGAAGGTCATAAACAAGGAGTGCTGGGTCCCAGAATATGGCAAGATATTGACGTCTTACCACCTGAAGGTGACTCTCCGAGCATGCCTGGGTGGGACCATCTGCTGTAAGGGGATGGTTGTGGGGGGGGGGAATAATTCAAGCATAGGTAGCTGTCTGTCTGGACTCAGGCTCTGGTCTGAGATGTTGTGAGTTGTGTCAGATCCCAGGCAGTGCAATCCGTGTTGAGTGTGGGCGTCTTCTCTGCTTTTGCTGGAGGACTCACAGAGACCTGGCGATATTGTATAATTCTAATCTATTTTTGACTCTGATCCAATCTCATGCTTCAGAGCTTAGGCTAATCATCTGTGGAGATCAGGAAGGGAATTTTTGTTCCCCCAGTGCCCAACTGGCCAGGCTCATTCTTTCAACTTCCCCTGAAGCACTGGGGACCTGCTACAGCTGGAGATGGGAAGCCAGACGGGGTGGGCTGGTGCTCTGAGCTGGTCCAGAGACTCCTCTTTTAGGTGCCTGGCTGATGGGTCTGACTCACATGCTCAAGGTTGCCAGATTTGGGGCTGCGCAGGGATTTCTTCAGGTCAGCCTGGAAGACCTTTAGCTCAGACATTTTTTCTCTGCAATGTCGCTCAAGTGTCTGAGTTCAAGAGCTGCTCAATCCCCCATCTCTAACTTGGTCACCCATAAAAATATTCAGGGGAGACAAAATCTGAACTGCTGATGGGGGGAGGGGAGTGTGAACCCAACAAAAATCTTTCAAGGAAACTACCAAAAAGACTGGGCCAGACTCCCAGCTGGTGTCACTCGGCCTTAGCTCCATTGGAGTCAATGGGGCCAGATCCCAGATGGGGTCACTCGGCCGTAGCTCCACTGGGGTCAATGGGGCCAGACACCCAGCTGTAGTCACTCAGATGTTGCACAACTGGGGTCAATGGGGTCAGATCCCAGCTGGGTTCAATAGGCTATAGTGGGGTCAGAATCCAAGCTGGTGTCAAGAACTCGAGGAGTTACACAGATTTCCTTCGTCTTGGCTATGTAAGTTTCCTCTCTCTCTGTGCAGACCGTTCTTCTGTGGGCCCAAGATATTCACCCGGAGACGGAGAAATGGGAGACCCTGGAGTCGTCCCTGAAGACCCTCCTGAGCCTCCTACGTCACTGCGTGAACAAGATAAAGCTCCCCCACTATTTCCTGCGTGACTTTAACCTCTTCAACAAGCGCTACAGGGAAGGTAACGGGTTCTATGAGTGCCTGGCCTTGCAGGTCCTCAACAAGGAGGGGGAGCTGTTGCAGGTGAATCCAGCAGACTATATATCCCTGAGAGTCCCCAAGAAGCATTCTGAGAGTCCTGGGGTCTTCAGCAGAGCAGAGACATCTCTCCAGGGATTTAATTCGAGCCACCTGAAGAAGCTGAAGGAGTTGGAGGAGAAACAGCTGTATGAGTGGAAAGAGGAAGAGCCGGGTAACAAGAATGTAATGGCCTAGCCAGTCCAAGGGAGGGAACACGTTGAGCCCTGAAGGATTTAACAGAGGAGCAGATCCCAGCTATAGGATTGTGCCGGGAAGCAGCCACAGCCATAGCTAAGAATGAGAAACGTGTCATCTGAGTAGCTGTAAAATACTCATGCATCACCAGTTTGACTTGAAAATTGCTGAGCTCCATGGGGGCCAGGGTTGGAGTTAGTGCTGAAAATGTCATGGTTTTTCCCTCAAATATATAGCCCCTCCCCCACTGCCCTCACTTTAAAATTTCTCCCATTCTTATCATGGGTCTGTCTGGGTGAAGCTGGGCAAAATATTCAGGACATAGTGGACGTGACATGGACTGATATTCAGTAATTAAAAAGTTACTGGGTTGTGGGATTCTGGCTCTTGAGATTGACACGCACCAGCCATGATCATCTGTGCCACCTACAGAGCCCACTCAGGGCTGGTGTAGCTGGGAGTTCCCCCCCCCACAGCCAACACCCCATACTCTCCCATCGGGGGCGCTGTGGGGAGGGGATCACGAAGTCGTGGGGGCGATGCTCTGGAATTGCCCCACATGAAGCCAGTCAGGGTCCTGGGGCAACGTGCCTACTTTCGGTGAGCGCACTGTCACCAGGGTAAGGAGCTTACACAGCTTCGTCCTTCCTGAGTTTGACCTTGGAGCATCCAGCATCCCCGTCCACACCGTGCGCTTCCCACAGCCAGTCTGCCCAGGTGGGACTCCTGGGGAAGCCAGGGGGCCCTGCACCCCAACTCCGCAGTCAGACGTGACTGAACCAGCATTGTAAAACGGAAAGTGTATTAGACGAGAGGAACATAGAGTAGAACAGGACACGGTTAGCACAGAAATCAGTGACTTTCAGCCTAATCCATCCCGGAAGGAGGGGAGCCCAGAGCCAGGGCTCTGGCGCTCCCCTGCGCTCCAAGCTAGCCGAGACTGACCTGCTTTCAGCTGCCTGACCCCTGCCTCTGCCCATTGCTCCTCCTCCTGTCTTTGTCTGCTTCCTGGGCAAACGGTTTTCACCTGGTCACATCCCCCTCCTAGGCTCCAGTTAGGAAGGGGACAGCCATAGCATAGGTGCAGCCAGCGGGAACAGCCCCCGCAAAAGTCACACTCCCTTATTACCACACTCTAGACACTGGTGTAATACCGAGGGAAACTGAGGCACACACAATATTCATGCAAAACAGTAAGACTCACATAGGCTCACATACAACATAACAAGGTGAAAAAAACCCCACTTCATCACATCTCCCCCCTTCGAGACCGAACTGAGTGGGGTCACTTTAGCCAGTGACCTGGGGAGGTTCGGGACCCCCTCTCCGGGACAAAGCATCAGCTATAACATTGGCACTCCCCTTAACATGGGCCACCTCCATCTCATGCTACTGGAGGGACAGACTCCACCTCAGGGGCTTAGTATTGGCCCCTTTCATCTGGTGCAGCCACAGCAGGGCGAGTGGTCAGTATACACAGTGAAGTGCCTCCTGAATAGATCTGGGTATGGCCTCCTAAGAGCCCAGCCCAGGCATAGCCTGGGGCAGCAGCTTCCTGCTCAGGTACAGGGTGGGGTGTTTCTCCTCCTTTCCATTAGTGTACGTTGACACCGCACCCAGCCCTGTGTCTGGCGCGTCAATGAACACCATCGAGTGCTTGTCGAAGTTTGGATTTCCCAGCACCGGGCCCTTGACCAGAGCCTCCTTCAGCGTGCAGAGACCCCTCTGGCACTGTCCAGTCCAGACCAGCTTGTCTGGCTCACCCTTCTTACATAGCTCCGTGATGGGAGCTGACACGGAGTTAAAGTGGGGCACAAACCTCCGGTAGTGCCTTGCCATCCTGATAAAGGCCTGGACCTGTTTCTTCGTCTGGGGAGCAGGCCAGACTCTGATCGTCCCTACCTTGGCTGGCTCTGGCTTTAGACAGCCACTCCCCACCTTGTGGCCCAGGTACAACACCTCGGCCATCCCCACCTGGCACTTGCCAGCTTTTACAGTCGGCTCTGCATCCTGGAGGTGACCCGGCCCCCTCTTTCCTGGGACACGTGGTCCTCCCAGGTCTGGCTAACAAACCACATGTCATCAATGTATGCTACAGTAAAGTTCTCCATCCCATTCAGTAACTGATCCACCTGGCGCTGGTAGGTGACTGGCACCTCCTTGAGGCCGAAAGGTAGAACCAGGAATTGGACATATATAGATTCACTGACAAACACCTTTGTTAAGATTGTCCAGGGATAGCTCATGCCCTTCCAGAACTGAGTTCATCAAAACTCAAACTTGTGCAAGCCAGAAAATATGGAGTTCAGGTAAATGCCCAGCACAACCTTAACTCTGCCCCACCCACCCCCCGGAGCTTGCAATAGCCACTGGGAGTTATCCACATGCCCCACAGCTGTGTTCACTGTGATAGGTGGCACTGTACTGAATGGGGGAGGGAGCAGATGGAGCTGCTTGGCAGAGCTGTGATTGGGATATGAGACCTTGGGGGCCCTGCCTCTCTGAGGAGATCTGAGCCGCCCCCTCCTTCCCCCCCCCGTGCGATCAAAAGAAAGAGGGGCATGCAGACCTTGGGAGATCCGGCACCCCTCGTTTCAGAGCGGCGTTGTGCAGGCTGGGGCACGAGCAGGGCACAGGGGGTGTCTTGCCATGGGGACTGTCAGCAGCGAGGTGAGTGATGAGCGAGGTCTGTGGGTTTAATGAAGGGGGAGTTAAAGCATCGTCGTGCATACAGGGGAAGGGGCTATAAAAGGGATTTTGTACAATGAGCAGCTGCGCTGTCCTTTCTGTGGAAAGGCTCCGTGTCTGAGTGTAGGGCGGCCGTAGGGAGCTCCTGCTCCGTACAGGTCAAAGGCACGGTGTAAGTGTGGGCATTAGGGGCATATTGGGGCATCGCTCAAAGAGGGCAGAGTTAAGGTTGTGTTGGGCATTTACCATAACACCGTATTCCCTGAGGTTCCAAAGCTCGAGTGTTGCTGAGCTCAACGTTCCAGAAGGGCACGAGCTAGCCCCGGGCAACCTTTACTCTGCGTTCATGACGGTTTTTGTCAGTGAATTTCCTAATTTTTTTGAACAGAAAGAAAATGTTGTTGCCAGGAGCTAGTGCTCATTGAGGCAGCTGCAGGTCTCATGTCAGTGAGCAGTTCAGATGCTCCTGTGAATAACACCTAGCTCTTACACAGCGCTTTTCACCAGTAGCTCTCAAGGAGGAAAACATCATTATCCCCATTGTACAGATGGGGAAACTGAGGTGTGAGGTGACTTGGCTAAAGTCATCCCACAGGCCCAGGGCAGAGCCAGGAATAGAGGTCAGTTTTCTGAGTCCCAGTCCATTGCTCTCTCCACTAGGCCAGATGGTCGCTATGTGATTTTTAACTGTCCCCCCTACCTCCTGCACACTGTTCTCATGGGATAATGGCCGTGCGTTGCAATGTTTGCAGTGTGTAGATGCGAACAGGGCTGATGAGGGAAACCTCATCCATGATCTAGTTCCCAAAAGCTTGACGGTTTTATTATGTCGGTGCTACGGTGCCGTGAAGCATGTGAGAGAAGACTGCTGTTTCTCTCTCCTCCCCCACCACCCCAACATCTAGGCCCCCGCTAATATTTCCAGCTCCCCTTCCCATTCAGCCATCAGCATTTAACACTCCAAGGCTCAGCAAATCACAGGCAGAATCTGTGAACTTGAAGCCAGGTTGTTTTTGGCTGGATCTCGGGAACCCGTTGGTCAAATGGCCCCACGTCTGGATCCCCGACCGCAGCCCGTGCCGCCATGGGACCCACCCAGTGCCCAGGCAGTCTGAGCAGGGGCATGGAGTTTAGGCACTGAGAACAATCGAGCTTTAATTAGAGCTGGACTGGCCACAAACGACAGCAGAGGGTTCGGCTATAACAGGCACCAACCCTGACATCTCAGAGCACCTCACAATAGTCAATGGGTTTATCCTCATGATGCCTCGGGGAGGCCAGGCAGGGCTAGAGTCCCCACTGTACACATGGGGAAACTGAGGCAGAGAGGGTCCACGTGACATGATCAAGGTCACACAGAGAGTCTGTGGCAGAGCCAGGAACTGAACCTAGGAGTCCTCTGAGTCCCACAGCGACCCACTGCCCCATCCAGCTTACCTGCCTCCACGTCTGTTCCTGGGCTCGGGGCATTTCTCCCCACGGTTTGTTCATGTGCAGCGACGGGGGCTACAGTCTGTGTCAGGGTGTGTGTGTGTCTGTGCAGCACCTGGCGCAACAGGGGCCCCAATCTCAGGGTCCTTGAGTCGATGCCCCGGCGGGCTGTGGCGCTGGGGTAGATGGTTACTGGACAGAGACAATCACCACAGTATCCCCCTGAGAGACCCCCAATATCTCCCCAACCTCCCCCCTCAGACCCCCCTGACATCCCCCCTCAGAGACCCCAATATCCCCCTAACCTTCTCCCTCAGAGACCCCCTATATCTCCCCTCAGAGACCCCCAATATCCCCCAACCTCCCTCCTCAGAGACCCCCAACCTCCCTCCTCAGAGACCCCAACATCCCCCAACCTCCCTCCTCAGAGACCCCCAATATCTCCCCAACCTCCCCTCTCAGAGACCCCCAGACATCCCCCATCAGAGACCCCCAATTTCTCCCCAACCTCCCCCTCAGAGACCCCAATATCCCCCAACCTCCCCCCTCAGAGACCCCAATATCCCCCAACCTCCCTCCTCAGAGACCCCCAATATCTCCCCAACCTCCCCTCTCAGAGACCCCCAGACATCCCCCATCAGAGACCCCCAATTTCTCCCCAACCTCCCCCCTCAGAGACCCCAATATCCCCCAACCTCCCTCCTCAGAGACCCCCAATATCTCCCCAACCTCCCCTCTCAGAGACCCCCAGACATCCCCCATCAGAGACCCCCAATTTCTCCCCAACCTCCCCCCTCAGAGACCCCAATATCCCCCAACCTCCCTCCTCAGAGACCCCCAATATCTCCCCAACCTCCCCTCTCAGAGACCCCCAGACATCCCCCATCAGAGACGCCCAATATCCCCCAACCTCCCTCCTCAGAGACCACCAACCTCCCTTCTCAGAGACCCCAGTATCCCCCTAACCTTCCCCCTCAGAGACCCCCGATATCTCCCCTCAGAGACCCCCAATATTCCCAACCTCCCTCCTCAGAGACCCCCAATATCTCCCCAACCTCCCCACTCAGAGACCCCCAGACATCCCCCATTAGAGACCCCCAATATCCCCCAATATTCCCCAACCTCCCTCCTCAGAGACCCCAATATCCCCCCAACCTCCCCTCTCAGAAACCCCTTGACATCCCCCATCAGAGACCCCCAATTTCTCCCCAAGATCCCCCTCAGAGACCCCCAACCTCCCTCCTCAGAGACCCCAATACCTCCCCTCAGAGACCCCCGATATCTCCCCAACCTCCCCCTCAGAGACCCCCAGCGTGCCACCAACATGATTTCCTCAGAGCCCACCCCGACATCCCCCTCAGGCCCCTCCCCCCAGTGACCGTTGCGGCCGTTACTCCCCCTCCCCCTCCCCCGCCCTGTGCTGGAGCCGCCTCCTCCCCGCCCTTCACAGCTGCGCTGCAGCGGGGGAGGGGAGTCATGGCGCCAACCGTCGCTGGGGGGAGGGGGATGTCGGGGGTCTCTAAGGGGGGAGGTTGGGGAGATATTGGGGGTCTCTGAAGGGGATTTGGGGGAGATGGGAGATATTGAGGATCTCTGGGGGAGATGGGGATATATTGGGGTCTCTGAAGGGAATATTGGGGTCTGGAGAAGATATTGGGGATATATTGGGGTCCCTGAGGGGATATTGGGGGTCTCTGGAGAGGATATTGGGGGGATACTGGGGGTCTCTGAGGGGGATGTTGCGGGGTCCCCGTGAGGATATTGGGGTGTCTGAGTTGGATGTCGGGAGGTGAACAGGGAGGAGGTTGTGTGGTCCTTGAGGAGGGATATTGGGGGGGGGGGTTGGGGATGAAACTGGAAGGTCTCTCAGGGATATTTGGACATGTCTTTGAGGGGGGAAATTGGTGGGTTTCTGTGTGGGTTATTGGGGGGATATTGGGGCATTTCTGAGGGGGCATTGGGATTCTTGGGGGATACCGGGGGGAGGGTCCCTGTGGGTATATTGGGGGATATTTGGGGTCTCTGAGGGAGATATTGTGTATTTCTGAGGAGGCACGGAGTTCTCTGAGGTTCAGGAGGGGTCTCTGAGGAGAAACTGGTGGGTGTCTCTGAGGGGAATATTGGAGGATCCCTGAGAGAGGGTCTGTCATAAATATCAAGGGAAGGGTAAACCCCTTTAAAATCCCTCCTGGCCAGAGGAAAAACCCTTTCACCTGTAAAGGGTTAAGAAGCTAGAATAACCTCGCTGGCCCCTGACCACAATGACCCATGAGGAGACCAGATACTTTCAAAGCTGGAGGGGGGAGAAACAAAGGGTCTCTCTGTCTGTGGGAGGCTTTTGCCGGGGACAGAACAGGAATGGAGTCTGAGAACTGAGTCAGTAATCTAGCTAGAGACGCGTTAGATTCTGTTTTGTTTAAATGGCTGAGAAAATGAGCTGTGCTGAATGGAATGGAGATTCCTGTTTTTGTGTCTTTTTGTCACTTAAGGTTTTGCCTAGAGGGACTCTCTATGTTTTGAATCTGATTACCCTGTAAAGTATTTACCAGCCTGATTTTACACAGGTGATTCTTTTACTTTTTCTTCTATTAAAATTCTTTGTTCTTAAGATCCAAGGGTTTGGGTCTGTGGTCACCTATGCAAATTGGTGAGGATTTTTATCAAACCTTCCCCAGGAAAGGGGGTGTAAGGTTTGGGGAGGATTTTGGGGGGGAAGACATTTCCAAGAGGGCTCTTTCCTGGTTATATATCTGTTAGACGCTTGTTGGTGGCAGCAATAAAGTCCAGGGGCAAAAGGTAAAATAGTTTGTACCTTGGGGAAGTTTTAACCTAAGCTGGTAAAAATAAGCTTAGGGGTTTTTCATGCAGGTCCCCACATCTGTACCGTAGAGTTCAGAGTGGGGAAGGAACCTTGACATGGTCTGTGGAGGGGATATTGCTGGGTCTCCAGTCTAGGGCTTGTCTAGGAGTACAGGGTTTGGGGTTTTTTTTGACGTCTGTGCAACATGCCCAAACCACTTCAGTCTTCTTTTTCCAATCATTATCTCTACAGCCTGTTTGTTGGACAGTCCTTCGAAACACATCAGGGTTGGTTACTTTGTCCCCACGGTGGACACCAGGTATTCTCAGCCAGCATCTCTGATGGAATGTGTTACATTTCCTGTCGTGGGCTTCTAGCACTTGCCAAGTTTCAGAAGCATGTAACAATGTCGGTATCACAATGGCATTGTATAATTTTTATCTTAGTTCTGATGTGAATCTCTTTATTTATTCAGATAGTCTCAAAAAATGCCGCTTGCCTTCCCAGTTCTTGTTTCGACTTCTTTATGGAGTTGGCCATCAGCACTGATTGTGCTTCCAAGATGTACAAATTCGTTAACCATGCCATATTCTTCACCATCAATCAGATACGCAACATTATTGCTGACTCCTCTTTCAACAATCATGACTTTTGTCTCCTTTTGGCTGTTTCTTAATCTTCTTTGATGGCACTCCATTTGACACTGTAGTGGTCTTTTCATGGCATCGTCATCTGTGTCCAACAGAACAATGTCATCTGCAAAGTTGATCTCTTGAAGTTTTTCTCTACTCCACGTAACTACTGTATCTTCCTTTGATGTTGCTTTTTGCATCACGTAATCTATGCAGAAAAGGAAAAGTGGTAAGATACAACCCTGCCACACTCCAGTGATGTTCGCAAACCAAGCTGTCTCTCCACTTTCTGTCCTTACACAGCATTTTGAACCTTCATACAGCATCTTGGCCTGTGACACTATCTTTCTAGGAAGACCATATTGTCGCAAGATCTGCAATGGAGACCATATGGATGCAGATGAAAGATTTGATGAAATCTGTGAAGTTCAAGATTCATCTTCTCTAGTAAGCAAGCCCTTTCTCAATCAATTGTCTCAGGGTAAAGATGTGATCTACACATGATGGTTTTGTGTTCATTCAGTACACAGTTTTTCATTGATGACCACTTTGGTTCTGTTCAGTCGTACGCTACAGAACACTTCTGTGGTACTGAAAGTAGTGCCATACTTCTGCTGAGTAGGGACCTAGCTGATGGTCTCAGCTTTAACAAAACTGTTTTTGGGGAGCGGTAGAGGGTTTGAGGAGGCACGAAGGAAAACAAGATCCTAAAAGGCTCAGAAACCCAACGGTGAATAAAGAGAACCCAACATTTTCTCCCTCCAAATCTCATGATTTTAAGCCATTTTCATGACTGTTGAATGTTTGTGATTGGCAACACTGGGTATCTCTCCCGGAGCAGGTAAGAGTCTATAAGTAGAGTACTGACATGGGGAACAGAAATAATAGGGAGCTCTTCAATCTAGCAGATTAAGGTATAAAATCCAATGGCTGGAATTTTAAGCTGGACAGGTTTAGACTCGAAAGAAGAATGAATTTGTTTGTAGTGTGGGGACTTAACGGCTGCAACAACCTACCAGGGGCTCGGGTGGATTCTCCTTCACTGGCAAGTTGTAAATCAAGATGGGACGTTTTTCTGAAAAATCTGTGTGATGCTGGCAGACCAGGTGCCAGCTCATGCTAAGGCCCCAAGGTCTCAACCGAACACTGACAAATACATAGCTGGAAACCAGTCTGGCTCACCTGTGTGTCAGCAGTCTGTTAAGTTTTCTAAGAATGTATTTAGGGTTCAGATTTTATGAAACGCTTGTAGGATGCTGCATGCATTAATCTCACTTATACCATCTGTACCCCATGTTCTAAGGTGGCAGGAAGTGTTTGTATTGTAATCCTCTGTAATTGTATAAATCGTCAAACAGGAAAGAAGCATTAATTAATGTACAATGCCAGCTTCCTACAGAAGGTGTTAGGGTCTGCCCACCAAGAAGGCTCATTGAATGCGCCATTGTGAAACCTCAAAGAACAAAGACTTTGTTAATTGCATTCCACCCCACCCAGTGAAGAGAAGACCTGTACATGAACTCATCCCATCAGCCTGAACTCTGGGAGGAAGGGAATAAAAATCCCTGACAGTAAGAAACTGTGTCTTTTTGCTGCCTGGTCTCTGAGGGGCCAGGGTCACTAAGCATAAGCAAAAGATTTCCCAGTGCGTGGCAAGGGCTAGCCCTAAGGGATGTATAGAGCTTGCACATTGTAGAAGCTTCTGTCATCGTTTGGAACCTAAGGCTGTAACTCGTTTGTGTGTGTGTGTTACCTGCTTTAACCTTGTAAATAACTTCTCATTTCTTTTTCTTAGTAAATCTTTAGATAATTTATTATAGGATTTGCTACAAGTGGGTTGTCTTTGGTATAAGATTTAGGGTGCAATTGATCTGGGGTAAGTGATCGGTCTTTTGGGCTCGGGAGGAACCTGAATATTGTTGTGATTTTTGGTGTAAGGGACCATCTATCACAAAGGCAGGTGTGTGTAGGTGCAAGATAGATCAGAGTATCCAAAGGGACTGTCTGTCACTCTATCTTAAGGCTGGTATAGTGCCAGAGGAGTTTACACTTGATAACTAGTTGGCAAAATCTAAGTATAGAATTCACAACCAATTTTTGGTTTGTACCCTGCTTCTTAGCAGTCTGCCCTGAGGTTGGTGCTCATGCTCTTGAGCCGCTCCAGACAGCCTGCCAATATGAACTAGGGTTAGGTTCAAACAAGAATGAATTCAGGGCAGTCCACTGGCCTGTGTTATACAGGACTTTTCAGCAGATGATTACAGGGGTCCCTTCGGGTCTTAGAATCTATGAATCGGTGAGTCTGAAAGAAGTGGAATTTGTCTCCTAATGACTCATGTTTTTACTATTGTATTATTGTGGTGGCGTCATTTCCGGTAAGTCAGATGCCGAAGGTCTCTCTGGCAGAAATAACCAGCTGATTCCGCCTGCAAACAACACTCCCTTCCCCCATGCAGCTCAGCTATGAGCAGGAGAGGGGGTGTCTTTACAGGAAATGCAGAGCTGAACCACAAGAGTTTGTCAAGGGACTGAGGAGGGCTCAGCCCTGCCAGGAGCCATCTGTGCCTCGCAGGGATGGCGGGCAAGTACCAGAGTGAGGCAGGAGTGCCAAGAGAAATGGAAGAGGAACAGGCTGAGTTTCCTTCACATGTCCAGGAGTTACTGAAATGCTTCTTGGGGAACCATGTGTATCCCGAGCAAAAGGAACACCAGAGAAGAAAGCAGGAGTGCCAGCTGGTGCAAGCTCTGGTCAGCAGGATCATGGCTTCAGTGTGTAAGTGCAAGGTGGAGCTGTTCACGGGGGAAGCCATCCTAGTGGGCAGCCAAGCCCAGGACCTCCACGTCCAGACAGAGTCCAGCAGCAGCGACTACGACTTCCTGGTCCCCATCCATTACAACATGAACCTGATCCTTATGGGCAGCCTGTACAGCAAGCTGTACACCCCAAAAGGTCTTCTGCCTGTCTGGGACAGCCTGAAGCCCGAGGTGCCGGTGTACCGCTGGGGGAACAAGGTGGTGGTGGATTATAACAAGCTGATAATGAGAGATCTCTTGGAGAGGAAGACTGTAGACACGGACCTCACAGAGGAAGACATAAAAACAATAAATAAGCAGCAGGTAAATGAGATCATAGGGCATTCAAAAAGTCATTCCCGGCTAGCCCAGCTCTAGGATCTTCCCCCCGGCGCCCCCTCAGGTCTGCCAGTGCCCCTCGATCCTGATCTGCAGCCCCTGGCTAGCCCAGCCCGGGGCTTTCTGCCCCCACAGCTCTGCTGGCTTCCCTTAGTCTCCACCCACAGCCCCCAGTCTCTCAGCCCTGGACTCCCCACCACAGCTCTGCTGGTACCACTCAGTCCCAACCTGCAGCTTCCTCTTGATTTGGATTAAAGCATCTAAAGATGTCTTATTACATCCCTTTTCAGCAACAGATTTGGAAGAATGGCATTGATCCATTTCATGTAATGAAAACATTGTGGGACTGTGTCCAGGAAGCTCTGACTAAAGGTAAGTTTCTGTGTGAATATTAATTCATTATTACTGCATCAGTTAATTAAGGCCACAGGAAGATGATAAACACTGCCATAGAGTGTTTGTTTTGTTTTGCTTTCTTGGTTTTTTTCTATTAACTTTTAAGTTTTTTAAATATCTATATATATAAACAACAAACATAACAAACTATACGTAAACTTCTCGAGAGGCAATGTGCTTGGAGTCGGGCTCTCCAAGGTGGATGTGCACCCAGTGCCCTGGGATCATGGGGGTGTGGGGGTGGGTCGATACAGTGCACTGGAATTGTGGGGGGGGGGGGCGGGTAGATGCTCTCACTGCACTGAAATCTTCAGGGGAGGGGGTAGAGGCTCCCAGCACACCAGAGTCCTAGAGGTGAGCTGGGGTGGGTGGATGCGCCCGGCACAATAGACTCTGGGTCACCCGGTGTCCGGTTTACCTCCTGCCGCCCCACATCTGCTACATTAAAGAACCAGTTAGTACCTGGGATTTTCTCCCCATGAAGAGCCTTATACACTGTAATCAAGTCACCTCTTACTCTTTTTTTTTTTTTTTTTTTTGATAAAGTAAAGAGATTGAGCTCTTTCCAACCTCGTCTACACAGAAAAGTTAGGTGCATAGCTACGGCACTGAGGGGTCTGAATACTCCGTACCGCGAGTGCCGTAACTAGGGCGACCTAAACCCCAGCAGCTCGAGTGAGGAATATTTTTCAGGTTTATCTTTTTGCCGCCTGCTGAAAATTCATTCTTTAACTTCCCAAGTAGTTTGCCAAAGAGGTGCGACCTTAGTAAAGGCATAACACCACCTTGCACTGGGTAACCGTTGTGTTTTTATATCCATGTCCTGAGGATGTTCTTAATTCCATTTCCACTGGGCTTGTGTTGCTGTAGCTGCAGGCAATTCTTTGCCAAGCGCGACAGCCCTTTAATAATGGTAGAACAGCACCCATGCGAGCAGGGGTTGTAAGGATTTTCCTATACTGGGATAAAAATCATCCCCATAAGTGAAGTAGTTAAACAGTGGAACAGTCGAGAATGGAACAGGACTAACATCGTATTTCCAGTGTGTGTTGATTTCAGCACTTAAGACAACCCCGTAGCTGTAACTGTGAGTTGGCCAAGACTTGATTAATATAGGCACAAAGAAATTTGACTTCTTCCAACCCTGCAGGAATCTCATCATTTTCTTCCAGTTTTACCTTTGTGATCAACCTTCTATACAAGACTCTGAGTGTCATAGATTTTAACTAGCCCTTTTCTTCTCCCATCTCTGTTTTTAGAGAGAAGCCTTGCTACAGGAATTAGTAAGTAAAAGTTATATACATTAAGGGACTCTGTAAGTGGAGAAATTATAAGCATGAGGGAAATACAGAAGGGAAAACTGTTAAATTGCATAGGGTAAAATAGTAAATACATTGAAAAGGGGGCTATGGGTCGGGTTTGAGGGGCATGACAGAGCTGTGCGGGGTGGGAGAACTCCTGGCTGGGATAGTAGGGACTGCTGGTTGGGGTTCAGGGGCACAAGCAGAGCTGTGCGTTGGGGAAGCCCACAGCTGTAATAGCGGGGTCTATGGGTCAGGGCATCGGCAGAGCTGGGGGGCATAAAGTGGGAAGCCCAGGGCTGGAGTTCAGGATTAAGGGGCACCAGCAGAGCTGTATGGTGAGAAATTTTTCACTGTTCCTTCATAATCTCTCTCACATATTGGAGTTCCCAGAGTTAGGGATTGGGAGTCAGGATTCCTGGTTTCTATTCTCAGTTCTTCCACTAACTCACCGTGTGCCCATGGAGATGAAGTTAGTTACACAATGTCAAAGAGACACAGAAATAGAATCCAGGAATGCTGGCTGCCAGCCCCCACTGCTCTCACCGCTAGACCCTGCTCCCCTCCCAGAGCTGGGAGAGAACCCAGGAGTCCTGGGATCTTGGCCCTCATTCCCTTAACCTTTGCTCTTCCATCATCTCAGATCTGCAAAGCTTTGACCTATGTCAACTGTTTGCTTTTAACTCCCACTCCTCTGTCTTGCCTTCTCCAAGGAAACATTAAACTGGAGAACACTGTGGGTATTACACCAGTTAGTCCAGCTGTGCAGCTCAGTGCAGAGGTGAATGGCCGACCTGTGTCTATAGACCTGGTGCCCACCATCCGGAATAAAGTGGACATGTCCATGGATTGGCCGCAGCAGGATCTCAGGTGGCTTTCCAACTGGTGGGACCGGGAGCAGGGCGCTGAGCAGAGAAAACCCACCTGGAATATCATGGAAATTTACAAAACTGGGACCGATCTGGTGGCCAAGAATTCATACTGGAGGTAAAAATGCAAATCTCATTTGTTCCAGCAGAAGGCAACAGAAATGTACACCGAGCAGGGCTCATCCCCTCCAGCAGGGGGCGCAGGGACACACACACACACACAGAGTGTAGGTTTGGGATGGGGGTCTGTCTGACCCTGTACTCCCATTCAGCCCTGCCCCATTTCCCTCCACCCCACTCCAGGCTGACCTTCTCCCTGGCTGAGACCCAGCTCCTCAAGGACATTGACACCGATGGTGGGTGCAGGCTGAAGGTGTTGCGGATGCTGAAGCAAATCAATATGGAAAAGTGGGTACCGCGCTACGGCAAAGTCCTGACCTCCTACCACCTGAAGGTAACTCAAACTGGGGAGCCAGGGTAGGAGGGGGTGGAAAATGGGTGATAGGAGCATCCTCGGATATAGGGGAGAAAGATCTAGAAGGCTAGAGGGGGGGTCGGGGGGGGCTGGGAGCCAGGATTCCTCAGTTCTCTCCCCAGCTCTGGGAGGGGAGGGGGTTAGGGGAGGGGGGCCAGGAGCCAGGACTCCTGGGTTCTAGCCCTTGTTGTGGGAGGGTAGCAGTCTCTAGTGGTTAGAGTTGCATATTTCTTTTGCAGATGGTTCTTTTTTGGGCTTCCCACCTCAACCCAGAGACAGAGAACTGGGCCATGGAGCTGGATGCTCTGGGGACCCTGCTGAAGGTGCTGGAGTTCAGCCTGGAGAAGAAACAGCTGCCCAGCTACTTCCTGCCTTCGATGAATTTCTTCGACTGGCACCGGAGTGAGGAAGAGAATTCCCTGAAAAACCGGGTGCTGGAGGTGCTCAGACTGGAGGTGAGGCTGATGAGATGCAGCCCAGAACAGTACCTCCAGCTGAGCTGCGACCTGGCCAAGCCCCAAGGCCCGGGACCCTTCATCCAACGGGCGCGGGAGCTGGATGAGTTTAGAAGGAAGCATCAGAAAGACTTTGAAGAGTTCAAAAACCTGAAGATATCTTCTGACAGAAGCATCAACAGGGAGTTGTGAGCAACCTCTGCTCCCAACGTAGATATTTGGGCTTCTGTCTGAACTGACATACCCCAATGGATCTGAAATTGCTCTGGATTTACACTCGGGGAACGGATACTTTACTTCAAAACCTTGAGATATGGAACAATAAATAGTGTCAGGTTCTTTTCATAGGTCTTCTGGGTTTTGTGAGAGTAGGGCTCACATGGGGTGACTCTGGCATGACCCCAGCATAACTGAGATCAGAATCCAGCCCTGATCTCATTGCAATCAGGGGTGACTCCAGATTGACCCTGGGGGGCTGAGATCAGAATCTGGCCTTGCCTTCATTGCAGGCAGGTGGTGACTCCAGATAGACCTGGGGGAGCTGAGATCGGACCCCACTGCAGTCCGTGGATATAAGAAGATCCAATGGCTGGAAGTTGAAGCTGGACAGGTTTAGACTTGAAATAAAGTGCAAATTGTTAACAAGTGATGGTAATTAACTATTGGAACAACTTAGAGAGTCATAGATTCTAAGGCCAGAAAGCTTCATTGTGATCATGTATTCTGACCTCCTGTATAACATGGGCCAAAATAATTCCTGGAGCAGATCTTTTAGAAAAACATTCAGTCTTGATTTTAAAATTGTCAGTGGGGGAGAATGACCCGTGGTAAATTGTTCCGATGGCTAATTAGCCTCACCATTAAAAATCAATGCCTTAGTCCCTGTGTGAATTTGTCTTGCTTCAACTTCCACCCTTTGGCTCATGTTAGACCTTTCTCGGCTACACTGAAGAGCTGATTATTAAATATTTTTTTCCATGTAGCTACTTATAGACTGGGATCAAGTCACCCCTTAACCTTCTCCTTGTGAAGCTAAATAGACTGATCTCTTTGAGTCTGTCACTCTACGGATTTTCTATTTCTTTAATCATTCTCGTGGCTCTTCTCTGAACCCTCTCCAATTTATCAATATCCTTTTTGAATGGTGGGCACCAGAACTGGGCACAGGATTCCAGCAGCGATCACTCCAGGGCCAAATAGAGAGATAAAATGACCTCTCTGCTCCTACATGAGATTCCCTTGTTTATGCCCAGATTCCCAGGATCTTTTGGCCACCGTGTTGCTCTGGGAGCTCCTGTTCAGCTGATTGTCAACCACAACTCCCAAATTTATTAAGTCACTGCTTCCCAGGATAGAGTGCCCCAGCCTGTAAGTATGGCCTGCATTCTTTGTTCCCAGAGACATGCATTACATTTCGCTGTATTAAAATGCAGGGTTGGCTTAAGTCCAGTTTACCAAGTGATCTAGATCACTCTGAATCAGTGCCCTGTCCTCCTCATTGTTTTCCACTCCCCTAATTTTTTGTGTCATCTGCAAACTTGATCAGTGATGATTTTATGTTTTCTTCTAGGTCATTTATAAAGATGTTAAATAGCATAGGGCTAAGAACCGTCCCTGCGGGACCCCACTGGAAACGATTCGTTTGATGACGATTCCCCATTTGCAGTTACATTTTCAGACCGATTAGTTAGCTAGTTTTTAATCCATTTAATGTGTTCCATGATGATTTTATATCGTTCCACTTTTGTCATCAAAATGTTGCCCGGTACCAAGTCAAACGCCTTACAGAAGCCAGACTATTACATTTATCAGTCAATTTGTAATCTCATCAAAAAAAGATATCAGACTAGTTTGACAGGGTCTTTCTTCCATAAACCCATGTTGCTTTGCATTAATTACATTCTCTTCTTTTAGTTTTTCATTAACCGAGTCCCGTATCAGCCACTCCATTATCTTGCTCAGGATTGATGTCAGGCTGACAGGCCTCAACTTACCCAGCCCATCCTGTTTACTCTTTTTAAAAATGGGCACAACATTAGCTTTCTTCCGGTCTTCTGGAACTTCCCCAGTGCTCCAAGATTTACTGATAATCAGCATTTAACAGTCCAGTGAGCTCCTCAGCCAGCTCCTTTAAGACTCTTGGATGCAAGTTATCTGGACCTGCTGATTTAAAAATGTCTGACTTTGGTAGCTTCTGTTTAACATCCTCCAGAGATACTAATGGAATGGAAAGAGTTCTCATCACCATTTGCTTTAGTTAATACAGACAAATATAATTGGGATTATAGAAGAAATCAATATGCATAAGTATAAGACAGTTGAATCAATGGATCATATACTACAAAACAGTGTCATAAGGTATAATATGAAAATTGGAGACTCACTGGTCATGAATGTTTTTGGGTGATGTATGTACGGGTTGTGTATAAAGAACTATGTACGTGTGCTAGAAATATGTTGTTTTGGAGGCTGTTGATAAACAAGCCTGTCCTAGACAAAGGAACGTGGATTTACCTGTCTGCCTTGCTTGATCACAGGCAGAGGACAGTGAAAGTGCATTGACATGTAACGTCAAGCTCACAAGTGGCGGAAGAAACAGCTTGGTGACACAGTAGGGGACACTCTGGAGTCTGAATCCCAGGAGGGCTTCCTGGCTTTTCAAGCAGACCGTGAACTCTGGGAAATATAAGGAGAGCAACAAGACATTTTAGTTATCCCTCACTTAGGGAACAGCACCCTCTAGTTCTGTGAACGCTGGATCCTCCTGCCAGATGGGCTGGCGATGCTGGTAGCTTGATGTACTTGAGAAAGCTGTTTAGCAAGTTACAATCTTTGCCTGAAGTTAGTCTGAGACACTAGAAAGCTTTTTTATTTCTAACCGTTTCCTGTTTCTCTTCTCTCTGCTTAGTATCACCAATAAGTAGCCGCCCGCAAAAGAACCTGTCATCTGTGACAAGTGCAGGTTGTACCCCCATAAATAATCTCGTAAGTGTAATAACTGATCATGCAGCACACCGAACTCTCTGTTCTGTATTAGCAAACTTCTTAGCTTCACTATTAACCGTCTCAGGGCTGTGTTATGAAGTGTGAGACCTCAGCTACACTAACAGGCTCTTGGGAGGCAGTGAACTTAATGGTTTCTGTGAGTGTCCAATGGGAGGGCGAGAGTCTCTGGGGAGCTCTGGGCTTCGCTGCATGTTACCGGCAAGGCAAGGTTTGGGCTGGCAGAGTCTTGAGGAGTTTTTTGGGGCTGGCTGACAGGCTGGGGTGGCCGGGAGCGGACACAGTTTAAGCACCAGCAAAGCGCTCTCTCTTGCTGTGGCAGAGGGCTCACTGGCTGAGGGTTCTGGGCTCCCTGAGGAGAGCATCGCTCCCGTTGTCCTGTGTCTTTGTTCCTGGTGGTCCCAACGACAGCTTGGATAATCACATCTTTTAAACACCTTTTCCTATTTCACCCAGACGTGTCCAGGATCACAGCTGCTGCATTTTCAGCCCGTCCAGTGCCCTTAACCGTGCCCATTTGAACATAGCAGAGTCTAAAAACTGTTTAATTTATTTCCCCCTACTTGCTGTTGCAGCTTCAAGAACTTCCTTTGTTTTTCCTGGAAGCACGCTTAGCAAATCAATGATATTTTACCCCAAACTACCCCCCCTTCAAGATCAGGTCAGGGATCAAGTTCCTAGCAATGTTCAGCTAGTCTCGGAGGTGCCCTGCGCTGTCATTTGGACCTCTAGGGCTACCCCGAGACATCAGCACCATTGCTCTCAGGAGGCAGCAGGCCCACTTGTTCTGGTGTTACCCTGTCCTGCAGCTCTGTTGTCTCATTCTCTTGTATTTGTTGCCTGTCTGAGACCCTCACAGGCAAGACGGCTGCTTTGATGCTCCTTATCTCCCTCCTTCCCTGGGATTTGGAGGTGTTGCCTATTCTTCTGTAGTATGTCTCCATCTGGGGTGACAGCCTCAAATGACCCCAGGGCAACCACTGCATCATTGTGAAGTGGAGGCAGCTCCTGGGATCCCAAATCATACTGAGTTTTTTGTTCTGCCTTGTCTGTCTCTTTATAGATCTGCAAGTCATAGAATCATAGAATATCAGGGTTGAAAGGGACCTCAGGAGGTCATCTAGTCATCAAGTCCCCAGTGTCTTGCTGATGTCTGTGTCTGACAGTGAAAGCATTTTTCTTCTCCATTTTCTGTTGAACAGAATGGCAGCAGGGGACACGCCCTGGGGGCCAGTCTGTAATTTCATAGGGCTAAATACAGATCAGAGTCTGACTCGGCAGTCCTTTTCAGTAGAGGCTTTAGACTTTTGACACTGTTCTCCACCACCCCGTTCGATGGGGGATAGCATGAACAGGGGTTCTCACAACAAAGTTTTTGGTGGCCCCCGAGTGCGGCCACCAGATCTTGCAAGTGGCCGCTCTGACAATTTTTCCTAAAATACTTAATTAATTTTAGGAAAAACAAATAAATATGCACATGCACGTGTCCAAATTACTGTAGTTTATTTAGGTATTTTTTTTTTTTTGAAGACTCAATAATAAAAATCGTGTCTCTATTCTTTACTGGACCTAAACAGAATAGAAACACAAATAAGTTGCTTTACATATTTTTCTTTTTTTTGGTAGGGTTTTTTTTTTTTTTTTTTTTATAGATTTGCTAGCTAGTAAATCTGCCACTGTGAAAAGTGAGATTTGTCTATTTGTTAATATCACTTTCCACAGCAAATTTACTCAGCCCTGGCAAGCTGGGAGCCAAATTAAGCCCCAGATGGGGAGGTGGGTAGGGAGGCGGAGAGGACCATGGGGGACAGAGCCTGCCACCACATGGCCAGAGCCTGCCGCGCCCCCCCAGGGCTGAAGCCCAATGCCCGAGCCCCACCGCCCCGGGAAGGTGGGGAACTCACACTGGTCACTTGCTCCTACAGTGTTTGTGGCTCCAGACAGGGCAGGCACCACTGCTCCCCCCCCCTGCACCCCGTCACCACCCAGGAGGTCGTGGCAGCAAGAAAAGCCCCTGGTGGTCACCGTGGGCACATCTGAGAAACGCTGGACGAGTGGCTATATTCTAAACCCAAATTTCACTGCAAACTGCGTAACCTCATGGCCACCGAACTGCAGCCCCTGTCGGACATTACCGTGACAGGTAGACCATGTCTAGCAAAAACAGGTTTGATATGCGCCATCACCCGTTTAGCCCTAGTGTCTTCTCGTAGGGTTATCTCGGGGAGGTGAGAACTATAGTCTAGGAGAAGTACACCGTTTTCTCCAGCCTCTGTAGACAAATCCAGGCTTCCTTTGCCCCAGGGGGCCAATCTTTTCCTGTGCCACCAACAGGGGCTCTTTTGCTTGACTTGGCCTGTATTTTTGGCACATACAGCAACTCTGGACAGTTTCCTCAATGTCGCTGTTCATGTGAGGCCGGCATAGAAGGGCTCTGGCCGTTCTCTGAGGTTTTCCAATCCCCAACTGATCTTTATGACTCCTTTATAATGTATTTTTCTGTAACGCCTTGGGGATCGCCCTCCTGTGGCTTTAAACAAAATGTCATCTAGTGCTGAGAGCTCCCCTTGTATTGATAATAGGGGCTGGGAATCTGCTCTCCCAGCCACCCTGCGCTAACAGTCTCAGTTACTTTCTGCAGGCTTTCATCCCGAGCAGGAGCTCTGGCAATCCCGGTCCGCATTTTGCCTGAGACCGGACAGGATTTTTAAAATTCTGAGCAACGTACAAAATCTAGCTCTGAACTTTGCTCCACCGCACTTGTGTCCAGTGCTTCAGCGAGTGTGTTTGCAAGCAGCCAGCCAGCCAGCCAGCCTCTCCCAGGTTTGGGAGCAATGGGCAAAGGATACATTTGGAACCAAACATCTAGCCTCTGTATTCTGGGGGGGAAGCGGGAGCTGGGAGTGGCAATGAGTGGCTTATGGTCGGTTTCAGCTACAGGGTCTTCCCATAAATAAAGATGTGAAACTCTTTTATGCCCACAGGCTAGGCCCAAAGCCTCCTGCTGTATTTGAGTGTATTGGCACCCAGTTTTTGTGAGTACCCATGGCACACAAGTCACTGGTCTCCAGTTGGGACCTTGGTGCTGTAAGAGGACTACGCCAATATCTCCTTGGAGGGGTCCATGGACAACTTAGTTCTGCATGTACCATCCTAGTACCTAGGACTGGGACCTCTTCAATTCCATCCGTTTCTCAGACTCTTTATTACAATTGGCAGCCCGTGTCTACATTGTAGCGCTCTCAGGTGGCTGGTCCGAGCAGCTACCTTAAGCACAAATTTCTCTCTATATTTCCCCATTCCAAGGAATCTTTGTCCCACACCCCCACCCCTTGTCTGTTGGCAAAGGGACAAGCAAGTGATCTACTCCTACACCTTCATGTGTGAACGTCTCTCCTGGGTATGTTATTTCCATTACACTGAATTTACATTGGTTTGGTTTAGCTTTAGCCTGGCACCTCTGGCTCTCTCCAAAGCTGCTCAGTGCCTCTGGTCATGCTGTTTACCTATTGTTTTTCCTTCTTCTTTCTGTACTCTGTTAGGGCTCCCCTGCCCTCCCTCGGTTCTCGCCCTGCAGACAGAAGGCAGAAGGCCAGAGTCCGACGTGCAGGCAATGCGCTGTTTAGTGGGGTCACCAAGCAAGCATATCCATCCGTACGGCTTTTCCTGGCCTCCCTCCTCTTTCTTAGCAGGCTCTATTGTACCTGCAGTGCTCGCCCCTGGTCCCACCCCTTACAATTTATGGCCATGTTCTGTTTGGAAGGTCGTGAGTCTGGGGGCTTCAGTACCACCTCTTTTGTACCCGATGGGAGGAGTAGGGAGTGAGGTTGTGTTTCGGCCAGGGTCCCCTTTTCTCTGGCTTTTTAGTGTTTCTTATGGCTCCCCCTCCCGGCTGGTTGCTTGGCCTTGCCTTGAGACAGGAGTCGAGGCCATTTTCAAGTGTGCGCTCGTCTATTAAACTCCCCCGTGCCCAGCTATACCTTAACTCTCTTCCTCATCTCGTCTCCTTGTGCTAGCAACCACATCCGGCTGTGGGCAGATGCAACACCCCGGGTCTTTGTTCTTTGTTCACACGGTAGTAAGGATATAAGCATATCAAAAGTTAAACAAGCAAACAAAACCCCAAACTCTATCTCAGGCAAATATACAGGCCTGAATGCTATATTCCCCTCACTGACATATCCTCTGATTCAAAACATCTCTCTCCTCATAAGAATGAAACAGGAGTGCGCTATACCTCAACTTTCTCTCCAGTTTCATCGTTCGCCTCTCTGCCAGAGATAACTGAAACACATCAACGGCTTCCAGACCAGCTCTTGTCACGACTATCGCTACCTTCTGATTGTCTTCCTGTTTGCTGGATCCCATTGTTGCCAGTACAGAGGGAAGCGCTGTTTAAACCACCTCCAGTTTCCCACAAAGTTTTAACTCTGGTGGGGCTGTTCATTCCTCCATCCTTCCACCCAGCGTCTGTTCTTCGTTCATATACTCCTGGTACCGGGTGGTGGTCAGTGATCACTCGATGCTCGCCAGGGCTCCGCTCTATCCTCGGTGTGGTTCCAGCCAGCTGTGCAACACAATAGGAGCTTCACAGCATCCCAGTCTGGGAGCTCAGCCCTTAAAGGCACAGCCCCTGACAGCACAATCCTACACCCTGTGTTATACAGGAAGTCAGACTAGAAACTATGAGTCCAAGTGGAATTTATCTCCGAACAACTGACACTTCTACTATTATAGTATTATGGGTGTGTCACTTTCAGTAAGTCAGAGGCCAAAGGTCCCTCTGGCACAGATAACCAGCGTACTCCCTGGGCAACCCGCCCCCCCCCCCCCCCCCCACACACACCACCACACAGCTCAGCTACGAGCAGGAAACAGCTACAGCCAGGAGAGGAAGCACCTACAGGAAGTGCAGAGCTGAACTGCAAGAGTTTCCCCAGTGCCTCAGGAGGGCTCAGCCCTGCCAGGAGCCACCTGGGCCCCGTGGGGATGGCTGGCGCAACCCAGGGTGGGGCCCGAGGGCCAGGAGAAATGGAAGAGGAACAGGCTGAGTCTCATACAGTCGCCCAGGAGTTCCTGAACTGGTTCTTACGGCGCCATGTGTATCCCGAGCAAAGGGAACACCGGAGAAGGGAGCAGGAGTGCCAGCAGGTGCAAGCTCTGGTCAGGAGGATCATGGCTCGGGTGCATCAGTGGAATACGCTGTTGTTCACGGGGGAAGCCATCCTGGTGGGCTGCCAAGCCCAGGACCTCCACGTCCGGGCAGAGTCCAGCAGCAGCGACTACGACTTCCTGGCCCCCATCCAGTACAACACGAACGTGATCCTGCTGGGTACCCTGTACAGTGCGCCGTGCACAGAGCTCCACTTCCTGCCTTCCTGGCTGAGCCTGAGGTCTGGCGTGCCGGTGTACCGCTGGGAGAACAAGCTGGTGGTGGATTACAACAAGGTGACACTGAGAAAGATCTTGGATGAGAAGGCTGTAGACTTCGGCAGGAAGGATCTAGGCTTGGACCTCACGGAGGAAGACATCAAAGAAATAAATGGCCGACAGGTAAGTGAGATCATATCAGAATGTATCCTCCAGAGCCGTCCACACACTCAGCTCTGCCGGTGCCCCTCACTCCCGACCCACAGCCCCTGCTAGCCCAGCCCTGCCCCCCAGCTCTGCCGGTGCCCCTCACTCCTGAGCTGCAGCTTCTTTTTATTTTGGATTAAAGCATCTGAATAAATTTGATTTCACCCCTTTTCAGAAGGATCTTTGGACGGGCGGCATCGATCCATTTCTGGTAGCTAGAAAGTTCCATGAATTTGTCGAGAATGCTCTGGCTGAGGGTAAGTGTTGGTTTTAGCATTAATCCATTAGTGTTGCATTAATTAATCAAGGCCTGAAATGAAGATGATAAATAAACCCTGTGACGCTCCTCAAACTAATCCCCAGATATTCTCGTATCACAATCCCAGCTCTCCCAAGATGCTCCGGCTAATCCCTCCCCCAGTCAATACGGCCACACGTAACCCAGTCACTGCAGCTGCAGGGCAAGGGGGTCATTCTCAGGGGCTATTGCTAGAATTAGCCCTGTGCAGGCATTTACCTTAACTCTTAAGGTTTTTTGAATTAAACCTTTTTTTTTTTACTCTGTATTTCCTGGGCAATACAGGCCAGAGCATGAGTTACCCAGGCAACCTTAACTCTGCGTTAATCACCCTTTGGTCGGTGATTAGAATCGTAGATTCCAAGGCCAGCTGGCTTTGTTTGCACTAGGAGAATCGACCTCTCCCCTCTGGGCCTCTGTGGGGCAGAAACAGGGTAGAAAACGGTTGTAAATGTCTCTCAAGCCCTAGGCTGGGCCCAATTCCAAACCCAGGCAGCTGCCTTCCACCCTTCTCCTTCCTTCTAGGGCTGGATTTTTTAGCTCATCTCTGTTAGCAAGTTCCAAGATGGCGAGAGCTTTCAAGGAAAAACCTCTGGTCCATGGCAGTCAGGATCCTGGTCCCCTCATCGATCCGTCTTGTCATTCCAGACCAGGAGTGCTTTTGACCCGGGCAGTTGACCAAATCTGGGGAGCTGTTGCTTGTTCCTGCTAGGAGGAGAAATTGATGATAAGAGTCAAGTGTTTTCTTTGATGCAGTCTTGTTTGTTGACAAAGTTTATGCAGAAAGTCCTGTTTCCCTAAACGTAGTAGGAATCAAACAACAGAAAACCAGTTTCTCTGCTCACTGTCCCAAACATGCCTTTCCTAGGGTTCAGAGGAACAGCCGTGTTAGTCTGTATTCGCAAAAAGAAAAGGAGTACTTGTGGCACCTTAGAGACTAACCAATTTATTTGAGCATGAGCTTTCGTGAGCCACAGCTCACTTCATCAGATGTGTACCGTGGAAACTGCAGCAGACTTTATATACACACAGAGAATATGAAACAATACCTCCTCCCACCCCACTGTCCTGCTGGTAATAGCTTATCTAAAGTGATCAGCAGGTGGGCCATTTCCAGCACAAATCCAGGTTTTCTCACCCTCCACCCCCCCACACAAATTCACTCTCCTGCTGGTGCTAGCCCATCCAAAGTGACAACTCTTTACATAATCAAGTCGCAAAAAGAAAAGGAGTACTTGTGGCACCTTAGAGACTTGATTATGTAAAGAGTTGTCACTCATGTGTTCCAGTCCCCTAATAATTTTTGTTGCCCTTCGCTGGACTCTCTCCAATTTATCCACATCCTTCTTGAAGTGTGGGGCCCAAAACTGGACACAGTACTCCAGATGAGGCCTCACCAATGTCGAATAGAGGGGAACGATCACGTCCCTCGATCTGCTCGCTATGCCCCTACTTATACATCCCAAAATGCCATTGGCCTTCTTGGCAACAAGGGCACACTGCTGACTCATATCCAGCTTCTCGCCCACTGTCACCCCTAGGTCCTTTTCCGCAGAACTGCTGCCGAGCCATTCGGTCCCTAGTCTGTAGCTGTGCATTGGGTTCTTCCGTCCTAAGTGCAGGACCCTGCACTTATCCTTATTGAACCTCATCAGATTTCTTTTGGCCCAATCCTCCAATTTGTCTAGGTCCTTCTGTATCCTATCCCTCCCCTCCAGCGTATCTACCACTCCTCCCAGTTTAGTATCATCCGCAAATTTGCTGAGAGTGCAATCCACACCATCCTCCAGATCATTTATGAAGATATTGAACAAAACCGGCCCCAGGACCGACCCTTGGGGCACTCCACTTGACACCGGCTGCCAACTAGACATGGAGCCATTGATCACTACCCGTTGAGCCCAACAATCTAGCCAGCTTTCTACCCACCTTATAGTGCATTCATCCAGCCCATACTTCCTTAACTTGCTGACAAGAATACTGTGGGAGACCATGTCAAAAGCTTTGCTAAAGTCAAGAAACAATACATCCACTGCTTTCCCTTCATCCACAGAACCAGTAATCTCATCATAAAAGGCAATTAGATTAGTCAGCCATGACCTTCCCTTGGTGAATCCATGCTGGCTGTTCCTGATCACTTTCCTCTCATGCAAGTGCTTCAGGATTGATTCTTTGAGGACCTGCTCCATGATTTTTCCAGGGACTGAGGTGAGGCTGACTGGTCTGTAGTTCCCAGGATCCTCCTTCTTCCCTTTTTTAAAGATTGGCACTACATTAGCCTTTTTCCAGTCATCCGGGACTTCCCCGGTTCGCCACGAGTTTTCAAAGATAATGGCCAATGGCTCTGCAATCACAGCCGCCAGTTCCTTCAGCACTCTCGGATGCAACTCGTCTGCTGATTGGTCTGCTTCCCGATGGGTCTGTCTCCTGCATCCACAGCTGATTGGTCTATTCCCTGGCATCCGCAGCTGCCAGATCCCACCCACCCAGGCCCCGATTCCCAGCCCTGGGGAGGGGGTCCCGCAGGGAGTCGATGACTGACGGCTGTCACTGCCTCCTGGGCTTGCGCCAGCCGCTCAGCCACCATGACAGGGAGAGGCACTGCCCCCCACCTCCAGTGAGCACCCCCACTGCAGGTACCCCCTCCAGCTTCCCCAACTGTGCTCCCCAGTTCCCTCCCCCCCCCCAGTGTCCTGTTTTGGGGAACCTGAAATATGGTAACCCTAGCCTTTCCAGCCAGCACTCTGCCCAAAAAGCTTTTCTTTTAGCCACATTGCTAGCAGCGCTTCTATTCCTGTCTGCTGGGCTTTCTTCTTGCTTCTGTGTGTACTTGTGTACACACACACACACACACACACCGAACAGTGCCCAGCTAAGCCCCTGCCCACTAGTTCACATTGCCCCAGGTTACACCCAGTCCATAACAACAAGGGTTTTGTTTAACGCAACCTTTAACTAAGGCCTGGTCTGCGCTACAGAGTTAGGTTGACATAAGGCAGCTTACGTCAACCTCACTCTCTGTGTCTACACTACAGCCTTATTCCTGCTGATGGAAGTGCCCTACATCACTGACATCATAACTCCACCTACACACGAGGCGTAGGGCTTATGTTGGTGTAGTTAGGGTGACGCAGGGTCCCTGTAGACACCGCGTTACTTACATCCGCTGTTGGCTGTCATTCATTCAGCTAGAGCCCTGCTTCCCCCACAGGTTCCCGGCTCCCTGCTCCCAGCCGGGCTGCCACCTGGGTTCACTGATCCCCGCTGGGAGACCTGCTTCCCCACCCAGGTTCCCTGCACCCTGCTCCCAGCTGGGCACCCCACCGTCTGAGCCAGACAATAGCAGCGTGAAATCGGCAAGTATGTCAATTTCCCTCTTGGTAGGCTCTGTGCTGTGAAATGGAACCTGCCCCGAGCTCACAGCTGGGGGTGTCACCCCGGGGCGGATGGGGGCCTCCAGCTGTGAGCCCCATATGGCTGCCAGTGCCCCACAATGCCCCACTTCAGTCTGTGCAAGTGTTCCTGGTAAGGACACGCTGCCCCGGCAGAAGGAGGGCAGCATGGACACCACCAGCCCATTGAATTACTGCGGTGGCTATAGGTTGACCTACATTAAGTTGACCTAATCTTGTAGTGTAGACAAGCCCTAGAGCCCTTCATTTTTTACTGGTTTTTACCCGCCCCCCCCCCCGCAAAAAAAACAAACAAAAAAAACCCCTCCTGGGTTTACAAAAGCTCTTAGTCAGCTTTTACCAATTTTCACCCAAATTGTGGATCACTCAAGTACATGAAAATACCAGTTATGTTAAGGAAATCCAATCCGTGACATCCGGTAGACGTGTTTATGTTAATAATGAATTCGTCTAAGTGTAAAAGCTAGGCTGTCTGTTAAAGCAAGGTAACGCCGTGGAAGATACACACACACGTCAGTGCTTGACTCCTAAACAAAAGGAAGCGCCAGAACCTGGCTGTCTGCTCCAGAAGGAGAGATGGTGGCTCAGTAACATGTGGCTCAAACCCAGCTCCCTGCTCTGGAAGGAGAGATGACATCTCAGTTAGCCTCAGCCACCATCTCTCCTTCTGGAGTAGGGAGCCAGGTCCGGGGAGCTTTTAGGACTGGAGCACGGATGTACTTTTCTTGATTTGTTGCTTTTTCTCTGTCTTCCCATCCCCCAATATCCATCCCGATGTTGACCCAGAAAACTGCGACTTTAATTTTTTGCACCGATTCTCATCCATCTTTAAGTTTTTTTAATAAACCCTTATGAATTCCCAAATAAAATCCGAAGGTGAAGGGCCTTGCCTACACCAACTTTTCGTGGCCTTACAAGGATTTAATTAATCCATTTTACAACCAACATCCATCTATTTCTGGCACTGTTTAACTAAGGATCTGTTTCCACAGCACACTAGTGTGTATTTCCATTTAGACCTGGGTGACATTTTTCAGCCAAAACTTTTCTTCAGTGAAAAATGCAGATTCAGGTCAGCTGAATCATTTTGCAAATTCATGCCTATTTTGGCCAGTAATTTAAAACAACAGGTTTAAAACAAACAAAAGGCAGTATTTCTTCACACAACGCACAGTCAACCTGTGGAACTCCTTGCCAGAGGATGTTGTGAAGGCCAAGACTATAACAAGGCTCAAAAAAGAACTAGATAAATTCATGGAGGATAAGTCCATCAATGGCTATTAGCCAGGATGGGCAGGGAGGGTGTCCCTAGCCTCTGTTTGCCAGAAGGTGGGAATGGACGACAGGGGATGGATCACATGGTGATTCCCTGTTCTGTTCATTCCCTCTGGGGCACCTGGCATTGGCCACTGTCGGAGACAGGACACTGGACTAGATGGACCTTTGGTCTGACCCAGTATGGCCATTCTTATGTGATGGGCATGTGTAGGACCCATGGATCTTGAAAGGTGCATTATGGGGAGTGTCGATCATTGTAGCAGTGGAGATGTGTCCGCAGGTTTTGCATCTGTTGTTCTGGCAGGGTCTGGTGCTACTTTGAGTTGGTGAGTCCTGGTCTGTGGGGAGCTTGCTTCTGTTGATGAGGTTGGAGCTTGTTTGAAGGCCAGAAAAGGGGGTTCAGGAAAGAACCCATCAGTATGGGTTGTAATTATTTGATGATACCCAGTATGGGCTCCAGTTTGGGGTGGTAGGTGACAACTGTGTGCGGTTGGTGGGATTTTTTCCCCCCTGTATTGAAGCAGGTTATCTCAGCGTATTTTGGTGACCCGTTCCATGACGCGATCTACTCCTCTTATGGAGTGTCCTTGTTTGGTGAAACTGACTCTGAGTGTGTTAAGGTGGGTGTCCTGGACTTTCTCCTCGGAACATATTCTGTGGTATCTGAGTGCCTGACTGTCGCGAACAGATTTCTAGGTGGGTTTGGGGTGGTTACTGGATCTGTGAAGGTAGGTGTGGTGATCCGTGGGTTTCTTGCGTCCATAGGGTTCCATTGCTGAAGTTGATCGCAGTGTCCAGGAAGTTGATGCTGGTGTGGGAGTGCTCCAGAGAGAGTTTAATGGATGAGTGGGGGTTGTTGAAGTTGTGGTGGAAATCTCTGAGGGAGTTTAAGTCGTCTGTCCAGAGGGTGTAAATATCATCAGTGTATCTCAGGTGTATCATTGGTTTTCTGGTGCACTTGTCCAGAAATTCTTCCTCAAGGTGGCCCATGAAGAGTTTGACATATTGGGGAGCCGTCCTAGTACCCACGGCTGCTTCCGTGGTTTGAACAAAGTTCTCATTGTCGAATGTACAGTTGTTATGGGTGAGGATGAAACGGACGAGTGTGGGGCGGGTATCTGAGGGTTGTCCCTTGTCTTGTAGCTATTTGAGGCAGGCAGCTCTGCCGTCATTGTGAGGGATGGAACCTTAGAGACTAACCATGCTCAAATAAATTGGTTAGTCTCTAAGGTGCCACAAGTACTCCTTTTCTTTTTGCGAATACAGACTAACACGGCTGTTCCTCTGAAACCTGTCATTGTGAGGGATGTCAGTGTACAGGGAGGTGACATCCATGGTGGCTGGGATGGTGTTCTGAGACAGGTTGTTAACGTTGCAGAGTCTGTGGACTGTGTCCTGTAGGAATCTGGTGTGTGCTCTGTCTCTTTGGCAGCAGCGAACCTAATAATTTCTGTGAGTGTTGAATGAGAGGGACTGGACCTGCAGGGAGAGGTCTCTGGGGAACTCGGGATGGGCTTCACTGATTGTTTTCTACACGGCAATGTTTGGACTATCAGATTCTCCAGAAGTTCGCGGGTGAGGCGGACAACTGGGGTGGCAGGGAGCTGGCACACAGTCTGATCTCCAGCAAAGCTCTCTGTTGCTAAGGCAGTGAGGTAAGCTGGCTTACGGTTCTAAGTGCCCCGAGCAGAGCATCACACCGGGGTTGTATGGATTTTCTTTACTGGGATAAAAATCATCCTGTAAGTGAAGTAGTTAATCAGAGGAACTGCTAAGTGTAGAACAGGCCCAGCTGATCGTATTTCCGGTGTGTGTTGATTTCAGCACTTCCGACAACCCGTAGCTGTAACTGTGAGCCGGCCAAGACTTGATTAATATAGACACAAAGAAATCCGACTTCTTCCAACCCTGCAGGAATCTCATCGTTTTCTTCCAGTTTTACCTTTGTGATCAACCTTCTATACAAGACTCTGAGTGTCATAGATTTTAACTAGCCCTTTTCTTCTCCCATCTCTGTTTTTAGAAGGAAGCAGCCCTGCTCCCGGAATTAGTAAGTATTAAAAGAGATAGAATAAGGCGCTCTGTAAGTGGAGAAATTACAAGCACCACCTATGAGGGAAATGCAGAAGGGAAACTGTTAAATTGCATAGGGTAAAATGGGAATACATTTAAAAGGGGGCTGCAGGTCGGGATTCAGAGGTATCGGCACAGTTATGGGGGGAGCCCAGGGCTGGGCTAGCAGGGGGCTGTGGGTCGAGATTATGGGGCACCACAGAGTTGTTTTCTGAGAAATTTTACCCTGTTCCTTCTTAATCTCTCACACAATGGAGTTCCCAGAGTTAGGGGTTAGGGAGTCAGGATTCTTGGTTTCGATCTTCCGTTCTTCCACTAACTCACCATGTGCTCATGGAGGTGAAGTTATTCACACAATGTCACAGAGACTCAAAAGAAGACTCAGAAATAGAACCCAGGAGTCCTGGGCTCTTGGCCCTCATTCCCTTAATCTTTGCCCTTCCATCATCTCAGATCTGCAAAGCTTTTATCTCTGTTTGCTTTTGACTCCCACTCCACTGTCTTGCCCTCTCCAAGGCAACATTAGACTGAGCGACTTTGCAAAATGCTCTGCCGTGCAGCTCAGCCTGGAGGTGGACGGCCAAGCTGTGTCTATAGACCTGGTACCCACCATCCGGAATAAAGTGGACATGTCTATGGATTGGCCAAGGCAGGATCTCAGGTGGCTTTCCGACTGGTGGGACCAGGAGCAAGGCACTGAGCGGATCAAACCCACCTGGAATATCATGGAAATTTACAAAACTGGGGCCGATCTGGTGGCCAAGAATCTGTACTGGAGGTAAAAATGCAAATCTCATTTGTTCTAGCAGAAGGCAACAAAAACACACACAGAGGGGGCTCAGCCCCTCCAGCAGGGGGGAGCAAGGACACACACACACACATACACACACAGCAGGGGCCATCCCCACCAGCAGGGGGCAGCAGGGACACACACACACCCTGGTGCAGGTGTGGGATGGGGGTCAGTCTGATCCCGTACTCCCATTCAGCCCTGTCTCATTTCCCCCACCCCTTCCCAGGCTCTCCTATTCCCTGGCTGAGACCCGACTCCTCAGGGACATTGACCTCGATGGTGCTGGGTGGAGGCGGGAGGCGCTGCAGCTGCTTAAGCAAATCAACATGGAGAAATGGGTACCGCGCTATGGCAAAGTCCTGACCTCCTACCACCTGAAGGTAACTCAGACAGAGAGGGCAGAGTGGGAGGGGGTGGGGAATGGATGATACGAGCATCCACAGGTATAGGGGAGAAAGATCTAGTGGGTTAGAGCTGCAGGGGAGGGGCGGCAGAGAGGGCTGGGTTTTATTCCAGCTCCGGGAAGGGGAGTGGGGTCTAGTGGTTAGCGCTGCGTGTTTCTTCTTCCAACTGTTTCGCTCTGGGTTCTCCATCTCAGGTGCCCATGCGCCCCAGATGCCTTTGTTGGGAGAATTTTGGTAGCGGTGCCCATTCCGCCCAAGCACGCCCTCCAGACATCCTCGTGCCCCATACCGAGGATATAGAGAGGTGAGCGGGAGAACCATCCTCAGTTCCTTCTCTGCCGCCTGACAGCCTAAGATAGTGTCTCATGTGCCCGCTTCACCTTTGCTTAGCTTAGTCAAGCCTCCAATTTTAGTCACAATTAGAGTGCGGTGCTGTTTAGCTCACCTCGTTTATTTCTTTATACTTTGTGGGGGGGTCTGTTTAATGTTCCCCTTGTCCCCTCCCTCCTCCGCCTGCCCCTTCCCCTCCATTCTGAGAGGTTTATGCTTCGGGAGTTGTCATCAACTTGGTATGCCGGGATCCCCAGGATTTCAGCTTTCCCGGTCAGTGACGGACATTCCCGGTGTAGCTGCTGCCTGAGATACCCCCAAATCCCAGCTAAGTGCAAAATCTGCTCGGCGGTTAAAAGGAGAGCTTGTAAAAATTGGAGATTAAATTTAGGCTCTTCACGATGGAGCTCTCCCTCTGACCAGTCATGGGTCCAGGCCCAGGTACCCCTTGGACATTGGCCTCTGAGTGAAAACAGTGCTCTGCTGATCTCAGTCCCCTCAAATTCCCGACCAGATTTTCCTGACATGAGGGTTTCCAGAAGTGGACTTCTCTCCGACCACCACCAACAGAAAGTGTAAGAAAATCTGTTCGAGAGGAGGTCTGGATTATCAATCCTTGGGAGACGCCTTCCTCATTCCTTGGACAAGAGCTCTTCTTCATGCATATCCTCTGACACCATTGATTCGGAACAAGATCAAACGAGACAGAGACGGAGTCACTCTAGCTGCACCAACTCGCTCGAGCCAGGTCTGGTTCTCTGACCTGATTCGTCTCACTTCCTATCCAGCTGCAGCTTCTGGTTGTTTCCTGTCTGTTGCCCCAGGACTCCAGTTGGTCTCTCCACTTCAACATGGCCATCCATGGTTCCTCAATGGTTCTCGGGGATCATAGAATCTTAGAATATCGGGGTTGGAAGGGACCTCAGGAAGTCATCTAGTCCAACCCCCTGCTCAAAAGCAGGACCCATCCCCAATTAAATCATCCCAGCCAAGGCTTTGTCAAGCCTGACCTTAAAAACTTCTAAGGAAGGAGATTCCACCACCTCCCTAGGCAACGCATTCCAGTGTTTCACCACCCTCCTAGTGAAAAAGTTTTTCCTAATATCCAACCTAAACCTCCCCCACTGCAACTTGAGACCATTACTCCTTGTCCTGTCCTCTTCCAGGGATAGAGGTTTCCTGCTCAGCAGATATAAAACAGATACAGTGATCTGTACTAGAAATACTTACCTTCAGAAATGGAAGAGATTTTACCATTGGGGTCCCCAGTGACAGTTTTCACCTGTTCATTCTTCCCTCTCCGATGTTCTTAATTATCTGATGGATTTTGAGAAATCAGGTCTTTCTATGAGTTCCGTCAGCGTTTGTTTCGTGGCTATTACAGCCTTTCATTCCCCTGTGCAAGGATTTTCAGTCTTTGGTCCAAGAGGTGAATCTAGCTAAATCGCTCAGTAATAGTGACCACAATGCAAATAAATTTAGCATCCTGGTAGGGGGGGATAATTAACCCCCCCCCCACACACACACACACACACTGTAATATTTAACTTTAATGAGAAGCAATTTGCTAAAGATTGTGACGGGCTTGTACCAACCCTACGCTGGAGAAGCGAAGATTAACAAACTGCTCTGGGCCCAAGAAGCCACGCCCCCTCGCCCCTACTGGGCATGCTCCCAGTGGCAGGAGCATTGAAAAGGGAGCCGCTCGGCTCAGGCTGGGCTGATGGAGGAGGAGAGCGGTTGTGGGCAAGAGCCTCCTGCCGGGAAGCCTTCGGGGCTCCAAGCCACCGGGGTCAAGCCGCCTAGCTGCAGCGCGGGAAGCCAGCCGGCTGCGGGAGCCGAGAGGGACGACTTGCTGTTCCCAGCGAAGGAGTTGCCGGACACAGAGCAGGGCGAACACAAGAAGGACCCCACGACCAACCCCCGGAGATGCCACTGGAGGGACAAGGGTAGAAAGCGACACAGGGAAAGCGCTCTGGGGTATCAGGACATGAACCCTGTGTCAGGGTACCTTGTTTTGAAGGGCCCTGGGTCAGAACTTGGTCGAGTAGGGTGGGCCTGGGTTCCCCTACCATCCCCACACTTGCCACTGGGCAATACTCCCCTTCTGCTATTGCTGCTAGGCAAAGCGACCCCTGGGACCGCCACTGGTGGATGTTATATCCTGGAGCGTCACCATTAGGTGGCACTATCCGTCCGAAGCACCCAGCCAGCCCCCCGACAAAGATACAGAAACTAACAGTACAAATTTTTTTCAATACATCAGAAGCAGGAAGCCTCTCAAACAACCAGTGGGACCACTGGACAATGAGGGGCTAAAGAAGCCCTCAAGGAAGACAAGGCTGTTGTAGAGAAGCTAAATGAATTCTTTGCATCAGTCCTTACTGCAGAAGATGTGAGGGAGATTCCCACATCAGAACTGTCCTTTTGGGGCACCAGATCTGAAGTACTGACCCACACTGATGTGTTGTTGTCACGGAGTGTGGGGGAGTCCAGGCCCTGCACCCCTCTTCCTGGGATTCACTGAGACTCTCAGCCAGCCAGTAAAACAGAAGGTTTATTGGACAACAGGAACACAGTCCAAAACAGAGCTTGTGGGTACACCCAGGACCCCTCAGTCAAGTCCTTCTGGGGGAGCAGGGAGCTTAGACCCCAGCCCTGGGGTTCCCTGTGTTCCTCCACCCAGCCCCAAACTGAAACTAAACCCACCCAGCAGGTTCCCTGCTGCAGCCTCTGTTCACATTCCCGGGCAGAGGTGTTACCTCCCCCTCCCCCTCCTGGCTCAGGTGACAGGCTCTCAGGTCTCCCCTCCCCAGGGCACATTCCCAGGTCAACAGTTCCCCCTCCCTGCTGCGTCACATCCTCACATCTCTCCCCCCTTCGAGACTGAACTGAGCGGGGTCACTGTGACCAGTGACCTGGGGAAGTTCGGGGCCCCCTCTCCGGGACAGCGCATCCGCTATCAGGTTGGCCCTTCCCTTCACGTGGACCACGTCCATGTCGTAATCCTGCAGGAGCAGGCTCCATCTCAGGAGCTTGGCGTTGGCTCCTTTCATCGGGTGCAGCCAGGTCAGGGGAGAGTGGTCGGTGTAGATGGTGAAGTGTCGCCCGAAGAGATAGGGCTCTAGTTTCTTGAGGGCCCACACCATGGCCAGGCACTCCTTCTCAGTGGCTGTGTAGTGTTCCTCCCGGGGTAGCAACTTCTTGCTCAGGTACATGATGGGGTGTCTCTCCCCCTTTTCATCCTCCTGCATTAACACCGCCCCCAGTCCCGTGTCTGAGGCGTCGGTGAACACCACAAAGGGCTTGTCAAAGTCTGGGTTTGCCAGAACTGGGCCACTGACCAGAGCCTCCTTCAGCGCCCGGAAAGCCTCCTGGCGCTGCTCGGTCCAGACCACCTTGTCTGGCTTCCCCTTCTTGCATAGCTCAGTGATGGGGGTGGCTATGGCGCTAAAGTGGGGCACAAATCTTCGGTAGTATCCTGCCATCCCAATAAAGGCTTGGACCTGCTTTTTGGTGTGGGGAGCGGGCCAGTCTCTGATCACCTCCACCTTGGCTGGTTCTGGCTTTAGGCAGCCGCTCCCCACTCGATGGCCCAGGTAAGATACTTCAGCCATCCCCACCTTGCACTTCTCCGCTTTTACCGTCAGCCCAGCCCCCTGGAGTCGGTCCAGCACTTGTCTAACCTGGGACACATGGTCCTCCCAGGTCTGGCTAAAGACACAGATGTCATCAATATACGCCACGGCAAAACTCTCCATCCCCCTCAGGAGCTGGTCCACCAGGCGCTGGAAGGTGGCCGGTGCTCCCTTGAGGCCGAACGGCAGGGTCAGGAACTCATAGAGCCCCAGAGGGGTGATAAAGGCCGATTTCAGCCGGGCATCTACATCCAGCGGCACTTGCCAGTAGCCCTTTGTAAGGTCCATGGTGGTGAGGTACCGAGCTCCTCCCAGCTTGTCTAGGAGCTCGTCAGGCCTGGGCATGGGGTAGGCATCAGATACAGTGATGGCATTGAGCTTCCGATAGTCCACACAGAACCGGACCGACCCGTCCTTTTTGGGGACCAGCACCACCGGCGAGGCCCAAGGGCTGGCCGATGGCTGGATCACCCCCAAAGCCAGCATGTCCCAGATCTCTCTTTCCAGGTCCTGAGCAGTTTTCCCTGTGACTCGGAAGGGGGAGCATCTTATCGGCGGGTGCGACCCTGTCTGCACCTGGTGGACAGTCAGATTAGTGCGTCCAGGCTGGTTGGAAAACAGCTGTCGGTATGGATGCAGCACCCCCCTGACCTCAGCTTGCTGGGCAGGGGTTAGCTGATCCAAGAGGGGAATTGTTTCCAGGGGGGAACCAGCTCTGGTCCCAGGGAATAGATCTGCTAAAGGGTGATCTCCCTGCTCCTCCCACTGTCCACACACGGCCAACACCACATTCCCCCTGGCATAATATGGCTTCATCATATTCACATGGTACACCCGGCGGTGGTGCGCCCGGTTAGACAGCTCCACCACACAGTTTACCTCATTGAGCTGCTTGACGACCTTGAAAGGTTCCTCCCAGGCGGCCTGTAGTTTGTTCTTTCTCACTGGGATGAGAACCATCACCGGATCCCCGGTGGCGTAGGCACGGGCCCGCGCCGTGCAGTCATACCAGACCTTCTGCTTCTTCTGGGCTCTGGCCAGATTCTCCCTGGCCAGGCCCATGAGTTCAGCCAGTCTCTCTCGGAAGATCAGGACATACTCCACCACTGACTCTCCATCGGGAGTGGCCTTCCCCTCCCATTCGTCTCTCATCAGGTCCAGGGGGCCCCTCACCCTCCTTCCATATAACAGTTCGAAAGGCGAAAATCCGGTAGACTCCTGTGGCACCTCCCTGTACGCGAACAGCAGGTGAGGTAAGTACTTGTCCCAGTCCTGCGGGTGCTGGTTCATAAAGGTTTTCAGCATCATCTTTAGCGTCCCGTTAAACCTCTCCACCAGCCCGTTGGACTGGGGGTGATAAGCGGAGGCCCAGTCGTGCCGGACCCCACATTTCTCCCACAAGCACCGGAGCAGGGCCGACATGAAGTTGGAGCCTTGGTCTGTCAAGACGTCCTTGGGGAACCCCACTCGGCTGAAAATGGTCAGGAGCGCATCGGCCACGGTGTCTGCTTCAATGGAAGCTAAGGGCACGGCCTCGGGGTAGCGGGTGGCAAAATCTACCACCACCAGAATGTATTTCTTCCCCGACCAGGTCGTCCTGCTGAGAGGCCCTACGATGTCCATGGCCACCTTCTGGAAAGGCTCCTCTATGATGGGCAAAGGTCTCAAAGCCGCTTTCCCCTTGTCCCAGGCCTTCCCCACCCTCTGACAGGGGTCACAGGATCGGCAATACTGCCGGACCGTGGTAAAGACCCCGGGCCAGTAAAAGTTCTGTAGCAACCTCTGCCGGGTGCGCCGGATTCCCTGGTGCCCTGCGAGGGGGATGTCATGGGCCAGGTACAGGAGCTTGCGGCGATACTTCTGGGGGACCACCAGCTGCCTCCTGATCCCACAGGACTCTACTTCCCTTGTGGGAGCCCATTCTCGGTACAGGAACCCCTTCTCCCACAGGAACCTCTCCTGGCAGCCTCTCCTCATGGTCCGTCCCACACTGAGGTTGGCCAGGTCCCTGAGCTTCTGCAAGGAGGGATCTTTCCTCAACTCGGCCTGGAACTCAGCGGCTGGGGAAGGGATGGGGCCCGGTTCCCCCTCAGTGGCCAGTTCTGAGGCCTCCGCCTCTCTGAGCCGTGCCCCTCGGCGCTCCCTCCCCACCAGGGTAGGGTCCTGGACCTCCGATGTGGTACCCTCCCCAAGGTCAGGGCGCAGTGCCCCTCACCAGCTCCGGCTACAGGTCACAACCAGGGCGGTCTGGGGCTTGCTTGGCCAGTCCTCTAGGTCTCCCCCCATCAAAACTTCAGTGGGCAAATGGTGGTGTACCCCCACATCCTTGGGGCCCTCCTTGGCCCCCCATTTCAGGTGTACCCTTGCCACGGGCACCTTAAATGGGGTCCCGCCCACCCCTGTCAGTGTCAGGTAGGTGTTGGGCACCACCCGATCTGGGGCCACCACCTCGGGCCGGGCCAGCGTCACCTCCGCGCCCATATCCCAGTATCCATTGACCTTCCTCCCATCCACCTCCAGGGGAACAAGGCACTCTCTCCGGAGGGACAGCCCCGCGCCCACCCTGTAAACCGAGCACCCTGAGTCCAGAGCCTCCAGCCCTCTGGCGGAGCTGGCCGGGGGTACTCTTCCCTCCTGAGCAGGTGGTAAACTGGTAGCCCCCCTTGTCTGGGATATCTGCCCCTCGTCCAGCTGAGTCCCTACCCAGTTAACCCTGGGTAGGTTGGGTCTGCTCAATTTGTCCCTGAGCCCGGGGCACTGGGTCCGTACGTGGCCTCTCTGGCTACTGTGATAGCAGCTTAGGTCACATTGGTCCCCTCGACCAGTGGCTGGCTTCCCGCGCTGCAGCTAGGCGGCAGATGGGATTCACCCAACAGTTCTGAAGGAACTCAAATATGAAATTGCAGAACTACTATCTGTCGTATGTAGCCTATCGCTTAAATCAGCCGCTGTACCAGATGACTGGAAGATGACCAAGCTAACGCCAGTTTTAGAAAAGGGTGCCAGAGGTGATCCTGGCAATTACAGGCCGGTAAGCCTGACTTCCGTACCAGGCGGCTTGGTAGAAACTATAGTAAAGAACAGAATTATCAGACACATAAGCATGATTTGTTGCAGAAGAGTCAACCTGGCTTTTGTAAAGGGAAATCATGCCCCACCAATCTGTTAGAATTCTTTGAGGGTGTCAACAAACAAGTGGACAAGGGGGATCCAGTGGATACAGTGTACTTGGACTTTCAGAAAGCCTTTGACAAGTTCCCTCACCACAGGCTCTTAAGCAAATTAAGCTGTCATGGGATAAGAGGGAAGGTCCTCTCATGGATCGGTAACTGGCTGAAAGATAGGGCTGGAATAAATGGTCAGCTTTCACAATGGAGAGAGGGAAACAATGGGGTTCCCAGGGATCTGTACTGGGACCTGTGCTGCTCAACATACTCATTAATGATCTGGAAAAAGGGGTGAACAGTAAAGTGGCAAAATTATTCAGGATAATTAAGTCCAAAGCTGGCTGCAAAGAGTTACAGGGGGTGTCACAAAACCGGGTGACGTATCAGTATTGATAAGTGCAAAGTAACGCACATTGGAAAACATAATCCCAACTATACATACATAACAATGGGTTCTCAATTCGCTATTTCCACTCGAGAGAGAGAGTTTGGTCACTGTGGATAGTCCTCTGAAAACTTCCACTCAATGCGCAGCAGCAGTCAAACGGGCTAACCGTGTGTTAGAAACGATTAGGAGAGGGATAGAAAACGAGACAGAAAATGTTTCATCTTGTGGGACATCACAGTAGAGACGGAATGGAGGGCGGTTCGTCCGCTCACCTCTAGGGCTCGCGGTGTGGGACACACGGGTGTGTGGAGCTCACGCACAGAGCAGATGCTGCTACCGAAAAATCTCTGCTCGACGGCACAGGGGTGTGCGCACCTGAAGGGCAGCATCCGTCGGGGCCCGGTTCTGGGAGAACTCCAGCTGCTACACGAGGTGAGTAACTTCTCCTTCTCTCGCAGATGGTCCTGTTTTGGGCATCTGACCTCAACCCAGAGACCAAGAACTGGGCCACGGTGCTGGATGCTCTGGGGACCCTGCTGAAGGTGCTGGAGTTCAGCCTGGAGAAGAAACAGCTGCCCAGCTACTTCCTGCCTTCGATGAATTTCTTCGACTGGCACCGGAGTGAGGAAGAGAATTCCCTGAAAAACCGGGTGCTGGAGGTGCTCAGACTGGAGGTGAGGCTGATGAGATGCAGCCCAGAACAGTACCTCCAGCTGAGCTACGACCTGGCCACGCCCCAAGGCCCGGGACCCTTCATCCAACGGGCGCGGGAGCTGGATGAGTTTAGAAGGAAGCATCAGAAACTCTTTGAAGAGTTCAAAAACCTGAAGGAAGAAAAACAGCCGGGACAGGGAGCTGCAAGTATCTTCTTCGCCCAACACAGACACTTGGGCTCGTGTCTGCAGTTGGATATTCTATGCCAGGGGTTCTGAAACTGGGGGTCGGGACCCCTCAGGAGGCCGTGCGGTTATTACATGGGGGGGTCACGAGCTGTCAGCCTCCACCCCAAACCCCGCTTCGCCTCCAGCCTTTATAATGGTGTTAAATATATGAAAAAGTGTTTTTCATGTGTAAGGGGGGGTCGCACTCAGAGGCTTGCTGTGTGAAAGGGGTCACCAGGACAAAAGTCTGAGAACCCCTGTTCTACGCTAACTTCACTTGGCTTTGGCTTTATCCTGGGGGAACAGAGTCTGCTTAAAAACCATGAGACTTTATTTAAAAAACCAATGTTTTTAAACAATAATAAATGCCAGGTTCTGTTTATTGGCCTTCAGAGTTTTGCAGTGGGTGTTACATGGGGACGCTCTGGGTTGACCCAAGGGGAGCTGGGATCAGAATCCAGCCCTGACCCCACTGCAGTCGGGGGGTGACTCCGGTTTGACCCCAGAATCCAGCCCTTTGGGAGTAGAAACCGAACCTCTTTTCTCCTTTCGCCCTCAAACACCGTTCTGTGGCTTAGTAGAGCACGTCCGCTTCCTTTCCGAAGGCCCAGCCCGCTCCCTCCCTCCGCACGCCGGGCTCCAGTTACGCCGGCTCACGGAAATGTCGCCGTTCCTAAACCTCCGTTGTCTCGTCTCTGCTGTCAGCGAGCCTGCGTGTGGGCCCGCTCCACTTCAGTGCGTGTTGGAACGTGGGCTCGTTCGCCACGGGCCTAGAACGTGCGGGAAAGCACCTGCCGACCGCGCTCCTTTGAACAGCCGCTGCTTCGTGCCAGGCAGTCGTACCAGGCTCCTTGACACGGCTGCCAGTCAGCTGCGACCGGCAGGGGGTGAGTCCACTGCGCTCTGCCTGCCCCGCTGGGAGCCCACTGTCCGCTGGGTAGGTATCCCAGGGAGCCCAGCGTGTCGTAACGAGCATCCCACCACCCTGGCCACTGCATCCCATGAATCATCTGGTTCCTCGCCATTTTCAGGGAGCTGTCAGAGGTGCAGGCTCCCAGGAGCCAGTGACGAGAGGGGCAGGATGGGGTGGGGTGGATGGACAGACAAATGGAGGGGCAGGGAGGGAGGGGAACATGACAGGGTTGTGTGTAGTGAGGAATGGGGGGATGGAGTGCTGGGGGGGGGGGATAGACAATTCAGCCTGCACTGAAATCACACCGAACAGCTGGCCCATCTCTGCTATTTGCCCCCTTCTGGCTCCCAGTGCTGACACCTGCCTTTCCACTGGCTTCTCTTACACAGCTCTGGGTGATTTCACTCCACGCTTCTCCCTCCCCAGCATGCCCCCCGCCCACCTGTGTCATCACCCCCCAGCCTCCTCCCTCCCTGTTAATACCCAGCCACCCCCCCACCCCAGCCAAGTGTCACTCAGCAAATGGGGACCCTGACACCCCGACACACTATCCCCACCCTGTTCCCCGAGGCACGTGGCACCCTTTGGTGGCAGCAGTGGGCTAGTGCCAAGGGTGCCCACACACACAGCTGCCCCCTGGTGGCAGCAGTGAGATATGGCGCAGACACACATCCCTGTGCATCCAGGTGCTCCCTGGTGTTCGTAGTGGGGTACGGCACAGAGACTTTCCCAACCCTGGCAAAGAGGGGCTAGGGACACCCTCCCTGCTCTTCCTGGCAAATAGCCATTGATGGACCGATCCCCCATGAATCTATCTAGCTCCCTTCTGAACCCCATTACCATCTTGGCCTCCACAACACCCTCTGGCAAGGAGTTCCCCAGGTTGACAGTGCGTTACGTGCAAAAATACTTTCTTGTGTTTGTTTTAAACCTGCTGTCTAATTTCATTGGGTGGCCCCTTGTTCTTGTGTTATGAGAAGGAGTAAATAACACTTCCTTATCCACTTTCTCCACACCAGCCGTGATTTTATAGACCTCTATCAGATCCCCCCTTAGTCTCCTCTTTTCCAGGCTGAAAAGTCCCAGTCTCATTAATCTCTCCTCATACGGAAGCTGTTCCAGACCCCTGGAAGCCGTTCCAGACCCCTTTCCTACGAAACCTTTAGGGCTAGACACTGAAGGACTGACCGTCCGCGCGGTACTTTGCGTAAAATCCAGACTGCTATTGACCTGGCAACGTGGGTGGCCCTAGGGTCAGAAGAGCACTTTGTGTAGCCAGCAGAGATTTTATGTAACTTCTCCCTGGACTGGAGCTCGGTGCTGGTTGGGACCAGAGAATGGGACGGCAGGAAAGGGGGCTGGGTGGCTGCTTTTTTCAGCTTCTCCATAACCAGGGTGGGGGATCAGGAGCTCCGTGTGTGACGGGTTGGGGAGTTTAACTTCAGTGTTACCCACCAGTCGTTGGGAGGATCTGCTCCCCCCCTGCAGCCTGCCCTGGGCATGTCCAGCGTGGGCTGCCCCAGGCTCCCCGGGACACATGAGCCAAGACGATCATTAGGCTCCCTCGTTAATCTGGGGCGTGGCAGAAGACTGACATGCTCATTGAGCTCGGCAGAGCCAAAGCCCTAAAATGTGGGCTGTGGATTTTGCCAGGCTGCCTCGGGACAGAGGCCGGAAGCTGGCTCAGTTCCACCCCTCCCGGAGCCGCTGTCCTCACCTCCCTGGGCTGACGTTTGTGTCACCGAGGCAATCGCTAGAGAAAGCACACCCCATGGCCTGGCTGGGAGCCAGGACTCCTGGGTTCTCCCCAGCTCGGGGAGGGGCGTGGGGTCTAGAGGGGTTAGAGCAGGGGGGCTGGGAGCCAGGACTCCTGGGTTCTCCCCGGCTCGGGGAGGGGAGTGGGGTCTAGAGGGGTTAGAGCAGGGGGGCTGGGAGCCAGGACTCCTGGGTTCTCCCCAGCTCGGGGAGGGGAGTGGGGTCCAGAGGGGTTAGAGCAGGGGGGCTGGGAGCCAGGGCTCCTGGGTTCTCCCCGGCTCGGGGAGGGGAGTGGGGGCTGGTGGGTTAGAGCAGGGGGGCTGGGAGCCAGGACTCCTGGGTTCTCCCCGGCTCGGGGAGGGGAGTGGGGTCTAGAGGGGTTAGAGCAGGGGGGCTGGGAGCCAGGACTCCTGGGTTCTCCCCAGCTCGGGGAGGGGCGTGGGGTCTAGAGGGGTTAGAGCAGGGGGGCTGGGAGCCAGGACTCCTGGGTTCTCCCCAGCTCGGGGAGGGGAGTGGGGTCCAGAGGGGTTAGAGCAGGGGGGCTGGGAGCCAGGGCTCCTGGGTTCTCCCCGGCTCGGGGAGGGGAGTGGGGTCTAGAGGGGTTAGAGCGGGGGGCTGGGAGCCAGGACTCCTGGGTTCTCCCCAGCTCGGGGAGGGAAGTGGGGGCTGGTGGGTTAGAGCAGAGGGGGCTGGGAGCCAGGACTCCTGGGTTCTCCCCCAGTTCTGGGAGTGGGGGCTGGTGGTTAGAGTGGGGGCTGAGAGCCAGGACTCCTGGGTTCTCTCCCTGGATCGGGGGAGGAGAGTGGGGGCTGTTGGAGGATTTGCTGCCTGGCTCCCCTCCCTGGGCCAGTTCCCGGCAGTTACACCCGTTACAGAACCTCCCATGTTCAGACTCTCAGCTCCAGCATCTGCTGCTGCGCGAAGCCCTGGGACCGGGACCCCCAGGGCTCCTTCTCTGATCCAGGCCGGCTCCCCCTGCGATCGCCAGTGTTGCCCCCGTTCCCCTCCGTGGGGTCCCCCCCGAGCCGCCCATCCCGGAGAACCAGGCAGCTGCCGGCTCCCCGCAGCCCGGGCTGAGAGCGACCCGGGGATGAGCGTGGAGCCAGGTCCCCCAGGCCGAATACCGAGATACACCCAGCTCCGGGCAGATGGAGCCCCCAGCCCGGCGGCCTGGGCTGAGGCGGAGTTGCTGTAACGCGAGCTGTGACGAAAAACGGCAGCAGGCCGCACACCAGAGCTGGGCGCAGTCAGGGAGGCTGGAGAGAGGCCAGAGGTGGAGCCGGCTACATAGCCCGTGCCAAGGGGCCCGGCTGGGGCTCGCCACACAGCTCTGGGTAACACAGGTTTGCTAAACGCGCTCCCTGCCCTCCAAGTCAAACGCCGCCTCAATGCACCCCCAGATCTGTGGGGCGACAGCTCCGTGCACCCCCCCCCCGCCCGGCTCCAGATCTCCCAGCCAAACCCCTGAGCCGCAGCAGCCCTTCAGGCACAGAGACGTAGGGGGGGGGCCTGGATTTTATTAAAAAAAAACAAACAGAAGAGAAAAAACCAAAAGGGAGCAGGGAAAGGGGGCTTGGGGGGGCTCTGGGGTGGGGGAGGGGATTGGGGGGTCCTGGGGGCAGGAATTAGGGGTGGGAGGAAGGGAACGGGGGAGGAGATTGGGGGTTCTGGGGGGCTCTGGGGTGGGAGGAGGGGAGCAGGGGGTCAGGGAGGGGAACTGGGGGTGGGGATCGTGGGTAGGGGGAGGAGTTCGGGGGTGCTGGGGGAGGAGATCAGGGGGTCCTGGGGGACGGGGCGCTGGGGGGAGCTAAGCGAAGCAGAGGGAGAAGGCCCGGTAGCTGAAGTTGGTGAAGACGTCGACTTTGTGGCTGCTCCCAGCGGCCGTCAGCACCTGGGGGGGACAGATCAATTCGGGGGGGGGGAGGTCAGTGGGGCCAGGACCCTGGGGTCCCCTTTGGAGCTGGATTAGCTTCATTGGAGTCCCTGCCCCAGAGGCCCCCTCTTCCCAGCCCCCTGCCCTCCCCCCGACTA